CAAGGGCCCAGGAGGGGACGGTGCTTGACACAGACCCCATCCCGAGCTGCGTCCGCCTGAGGAGATGCCGCTACATGCGGTATACCACACACAGTGCCGCTTGGCGCCTCTTTCCTGTCACTGGAACGTGGGAACGCGGAGCCTGCAGGCTTTCCTGTTGGGTGGGCCACTTTTCCAGTTTTATACGCACGCGGTACCTCTGCAGTGAGGGGCTTCGATTTTTAAGAAAGTCTCAGACACATGGGTATTTCTTTTTTCCATCTCAGAGTCTCATGTTCCATCTAATTTAAGTCAAATTAAGTTCTCTTGCCTTGAGAAAACTCTGATTCATGACACTGCCCCCCGAGGTCCTGTTCCATTACATCAGCCACCGTCAGACCGAACTGAGCCTCTCAAGGTCTGATCCTGGGAGGGGCGCCGTCACCGAGCCCTTGCCCGTCAACACTTTGACCATTTCACAGCGTAAGAAACGTATAGGATTGTCAATACAAACATAGTCAATATGTATATATAGTGTGTATATATGTGTACACATAGGGTGTACATGGGCTTCCCTGGTGGCTCAGAGGTTAAAGCGTCTGCCTACAGTGCAGGAGAGCGGGGTTCGATCCCTGGGTCGGGAAGATCCCCTGGAGAAGGAAATAGCAACCCACTCCAGTATTCTTGCCTGGAGAATCCCATGGACGGAGGAGGCTGGTGGGCTACAGTCCATGGGGTCACAAAGAGTCGGACACAACTGAGCGACTTCACTTTCACTTTATAGTGTACATGTGTATATAGTACATGGTGTGTATATGTATATAGTGTGTATATATATATATACAGACACACACAATATATATATAGGATTGTCTAATTCCAGGTTTGATTAAGTTGACAAAAGTACTTGAAAATGAGTGACTTCCCGAAATGAGGGCTCAGGTGTGTTATGTGCGTTGGCTTCAGCATAAAGCGAGCCCGCTGGTAACAGGGTCACCGGCTTGCCTGCCGTCCTCTGTAAAGACCCGGGCACGGCTCTCGAGCGTCGTGGCATTGAGCTGTGCCCTCCATCTCACGTGAGTGATCTGCCTCCCCAGGGGCTTCTCGGGGCATCTCCCTGCTCGTCCTGCCCCACGTCACTCTCAGTGAGACGTGCACGCCTAGAGTCAGAGGCCTTGCATTCCTGCTTGTTCACACTGCTGTGAGTCTCAACGTTCACGGATCCTGGCCTTGGACAGATGGCGCCCCCCGCCTTTCTGTGAGAGCCCCTGACGCTCACGTCACACAGCCACACAAGCCTTGGGACTCAGTGGCTGAGCAGACACGCCCCGTCTTCCCCACGGGTGCTCCCTGCCAGCCGTGAGTTCATGTGAGGGGAGATGGCATCCCCATGTGCAGGGTCATGCCCAGGCGGTTATCAAGCCTGTTTTCACACTGTGCTTTGACCCTAGTAAAAGTCAGTAAAACAAAAATGAAAAGTGCTGGTGAGAAGCACCAGTGTGGTTTTTTTTTTATTTTCTGGCCACACCCCATGGTACGGGAGATCTCAGTTCCCTGACCAGGGATGGAACCCGTGCCCCCTGCAGTGGACAGGCATCTTAACCATGGCCATGATGGCCAGGGAAGTCCCCCAGCAGAACAAGGTGGGTGGCATGTAGGGTGTACCCTCTGAGAGCAGTGGGCATGTTGCTTCATCTGGATGTTCGCTGGACCTAAGCCAATCTGCTCTGCCCAGTTGTGAAAGCAAAGAAGAAGAGGGAACAAGTGTGAAATGTCGAAACTCTACGGTCAAATGCTGGATTTTAAGGGCAGATTCAGTGAGAGGTTTTGCGATTTCACTTAATGTGCGCTGGAACGCCCTGAGAAGATGGAAGTTGGGTGTTTAACTCTCAGGGGTTTCCCTGTGCTTTCAGAAAACACTCAGCATGAAAAGTCATTACACAGCACATCTGGTCCCTTGGGTTCTGGAAGGCTGTCTCTTCCCCCTGGGGGTGCACCCCTTCCCTGCTGCACCCTGGCCCAGCACCCTTTAGGAGACTTCTCTTAGTGGTGTTATCGCTTTTGCTTTTGACCTTTTTTTGCCTCGAATAAAAAAAGAGGTTCATGCCATTACCCCATCGACATCCCTCTGAGTCAGGTAATATAAGCGTAAATAATCTTTAGTAATTGCCAGTTATACTGTGGATTTCCGATCATTCGTTCAGCCATTCCCTGATTGGTGACTTTTCATTAGTTTCTGATGATTTCACTTGACTCTGTGCAGTCCGCACCTGTATTTGTACATGATGGTGCTGTTGACTTTGTAAGCTGGATTGCCAGAGGCAGAAACCAAGGGTCCAACGACATGCACTTCTTAAGATTGAATTGCTTTTGCCACGTTTCTTTTCCCCCAATTGCACGGCAGTTATTTCTCCTTCCGGCGATACAGGGAGTGCCTTTTACGTCTCATCTGAGATTCCTTCCGGTTGAAGAAGTGAAAAGGCATTTTGTTGTTCCTTTCGTGTGTGCTTTGTGGACGGCCAGTGAGCTTGAGCGACTTTTTACGTAATTGCATAATTCTTTGCGGTCTGTGTTTCGTTTCTGTTCCTATAAGTTACCCCTTCACATGTTCTTTGCTGGTTTTTCTACTGGTTTGCTTTCTTTGTTTGTGTATTAGAGTGGTCTTTTCTTTCTTAAATCACTGATGACTCAGTTCTGTTGATAGTAGATAATATCATTTTTAAGTGTACCTAACCTTGGAAAATAAAAACATAGTCATCTTCTCTTGAACGCTGTCCTCAGTCTTTATCCATAATTCTGCTGGCCTGAATCTAAAACCCTGGGAAGCACCTATCTAACCCACTTCTTTGTTTTCTTTTATGTTCCTTTAAGGTAAAAAAAAATGCATTTTTTTCTTTAGAAAAGTAACACAACATTATGATTTTGAAAATAGTAGTGTTGCTTCCCTCACATCTGAGTTGCTTTCTTATTGGTTCATAGGAGTTTTTGTCTGTAAATACATGCTTTTTGGCATATGTGTTACAGATATTTTTCTTCCCCTTTTTTGGTCTTTTGCTCTTTGTATAGTATCTTTTGCCATAAATTTTTCTTTCTTTCAAATTGAAGTATAGTTGATTACAGCAAAGTGATGCAGTTATATGTGTGTGTGTGTGTGTGTGTGTATTTTTCATTCTTTTCCATTCTAGTTTATTACAAGATACTGAATATAATTCTGTGTGCTATACAGTAGGTCCTTGTCGATTACCTGTTTTATGTACTGTGGTGAGTGTTTATTAATCTCAGACTCCTAATTTATCCCTCCCCCTTCTTCCCCTTTCATAACCATGAGTTTGTTTTCCCTGTCTATGAGTCTGTTTCTGTTTGCATAGAAGTTCATTTGTATCAGTTTCTTTTAGATTCCACAGGTAAGTGATAACCATGTGATATTTATCTTTGTCTGGTTTGTTTCACTTACTGTGATAATCTCAGGGTCCATCCATGTGGCTGCAAGGCATTATTTCGTTCTTTTTTATGGCTGAGTAACATTCCATTGTACACGTACCGACATCTCCTGCGACCCTTCATCTGTTAAAGGACATTTAGGTTGCTTCCCTGTTTTGGCTGTTGTAAATAGCACTTCAGTGAACGTAGTAGTGCGTCTATCTTTTTGAATTAGAGTTTTATTAGAGTAATATATGATTCCTCTGGTAACTTGATTTTTAGTTGTTTAAGGACCCTCGATGCTCTCTTCTCTAGGTGCCATAAACTTTTAAAACCTCTTTGTGTTCTTTGTTCGTCTCTTTTTTTTAATGCCATATCGTTTTCCTCCCATGACGCTGTATTTTTTTTTCTTGCTAAATTTATCCTGTGGTGTGTTAGAATTTTTGCTGCTAGTGTGAATGGAATTTTTTTTTTTCCTTTCAGCTGGATCTATGACAGGGACAAAAGCTGTTGATTTGTATCTACTTGTTTTGCTTCCAGACAGCTTACTACATTTCCCCCAGTTTTTAGTCTATGGAGTCTTTTAGGCTTAGAGTCAGATCATTTCCAGATAAAAATCATTTTATCTCTTTCCAATACTTCCTTGTTTCTTTCATCTGTGGCACATACAGGTTGTTAGGGCTTCTGCTAAAACCTCTCTTAGGGGTAAAAGCCGCATCCTGATGGGCGTCTGAGCCTTGGCCGTGCTGGGTCGTGGGGTCACATTTGCTCTTCATAGCCGAGGATGTGGTAGCGAGTGAGCCGGGTGATGCGGGCTGCTTCCTTGTCAGCGAGAGTCTGAGCCCTTTGAAGCTGGGAACCACGTCCTCCCTCATTTCACAGCCCTCAGAGCCCAGCAGAGGATAGGGCACACGGCAGACGCACGCTGGACCGGCAGATGTAATGAAGGCGCCCCCCGCTCTCCTCTTCTAGACCCCCCACCCCGCTTCTTCCCCGGAGGCAGCTCTGCCCTGCGTCCTCTGCATCCGATGACCAAGTGCTGTCTGCCCAGAGGGCCCGTCTCCCTTGCCCATGCTGCAGAATTTACTTTTCAAGCCTCTAGGCCAGAGAAGGTCCCTGTCTCAAAGTTAGTCATCACCACCTAGAGGGCTTGGTAAAGAGCAGACTGCGGGGTCACCGCCCCGCGCCCCCCCCCTCCCCCCCCGCTTTCCGACTCAGTCCACCTGGGGCGGGACCCGAGGGTCTGGCATTTCTGAGAACCAAGTCTGATGCTGCGGGACTGGGCAGTGCCGTTTGAGAACCGCTGCTCAAGACTGGAGGTGGTGACCTCGTGGATGGAAGGCTCGGAGTTCTTTGCGTGAACCAGGCAGATTCTGGTGCTGGCCCCAGTTCTGCTCACGGAGGCAGGTCCCCCTCCCTTCACCTGTGGGGCGTCTGTGGGCCTGTCCTCCCCGCCCCCCCCGCCACCGCGAGCCCCTGCATGGACTTGGGGTGTGCGTCCGGGACACGCGATAACCATCTTTCACTGGGGAGGCAAATGCCAAGTGAAAGGCATTGTCCAGGCTTGACGGGAACTTGCTCCCCTTTCCACCCTCTCTCAGCCTCTGCGCTCCGGTACCTTCATGAGAACAGAATCATCCATCGGGATCTGAAGCCAGAAAACATTGTCCTGCAGCAAGGGGAGCAGAGAGTGAGTGACCCTGCGGGCCAGCCTCGGGGAGGGGTGGGCGAGCGTGGGCTGAGCAGCTGGGGGCAGGCAGCGGGGGCGAGGACTGCGCTGTGTGGGTCTGCTTACGTTTGGGTTTCCTTGCTCACGTATTTGCTTTGATTCTCTGGGAGCGCTCTTTGAATCAAAACAAAATCCGGTGAAAAGTTCAGGCTCACAGATTGAAGCCAATTTGAATGGACCACATTGTTAACCGTCCCAAGTTGCAGGAATCTGATAAGAAAAATAATGTTTGTCTTCCAACTGCCTCCCCCCCACCCCCACCCCAGCCTTTGGGCCTCACACTTCTTGGAAACGGACTATTTTTGTTTTCCATTTGTTTGGGAGCCTCAGCTTTTGAAGCTCACAGGGAATCCAGCTGTAGGTGGGTTCTGGACGTGGCCGAAAGGATGTATTTGGAGCTGGCCTGGTCCAGCCTGCCGTTTCCCCAGAGTTCTCGGGGGCCCCCCCCCCGCTCAGGTGTGGGGTCACCTCCCTGCAGGGCTGGGCCGTGTTTGTTCAGCTGGGTGGGGAGCAGGGCTCAGACGAGTGGAATGCAGCCGCTCAGCCGTGGGCCGCTTTATCTCTCCCCCGCGGCTTTCGTCAGCATCCCGGCGTAACCCACGCCCGTCCTAGCCCTCACCTCTGCCCCTGTTCACACTCATTCCCGGCAGCCCATCGGAGGTTTGAGAATTTAAGGTGTTGACTGAGAAGGAACCCCGCCTGGTCCTTCGCGTCACGTCAAGTCCGGGGTTCGCAATCCTGACGGCTGGTGCGTGGTCTCCTAATTCTGACCTTCCTCTAGCAAGTGATTGCCAGGCAAGGGAGGACACGCGCATGGCATTTTTACATTGTTTTCTTTTGCCTGAACCTCCCGCATCTAGGCATTCTGCGTATTCGGCGGTCTTGAGGAGCTTAGGGTCTTAGAACTGGGAATTCAGAGATACACCCTCTGCTCCAGCGAGGTGTTGAGGATTCTTGAAGGACAGTGGACTCTCATAACCCTTAGATGTCTCTCCCTCCCTGTTTTTTCTTTCAGTTAATACACAAAATTATTGACCTGGGATACGCCAAGGAGCTGGACCAGGGCAGCCTCTGCACTTCCTTCGTGGGGACCCTGCAGTACCTGGTAAGAGGCGGGGTTCCCGGCTCCGCGCATGAGCCTCTCTTGGGAGGCCGTGGCCGAGAGGCTCTGCTTCCTCCCTGGCCTTCTGCGTCTGAGCTTGCCGGCTCTCTGGATGATTCCTGGATGCACAGGAAACACGCTGGTGTGTGAGGACAGACTCCTCATCCTCCCAGAGGCCCTGTGGAGGGACACGGTCATCCTCTTGTGTCTAAAGGGCTCGGCTCCTGGGCCGGCGCGTGTCCCGTAACCCTCCCATGATGCCGTGTTTTGACCCAGAGAGTTTAAACCAGGTTCCCGCTGCTCTAGAGGGGCCTCTGTTCCCACCAGAATATTGTGGTTCTATTTGAGTCCCCCATTCATCCAAGAAATACTGATCACCTGTGGTTTTTCTTTTTACGTTTTATTTTTTGGGGGGAGGGGAACCACATTGCATGTGCATATATTTAAGGCTTTTTAAAAAAAATTATTTAATTGGAGGATAATTGCTTTACAACACTGTGATGGTTTTTGCTGCACATCAGTATCAATCAGCCACAGGCATACACGTGTGCCCCCGCATCCTGAGTCCCCCGCCCACCTGCCTGCCTCCCCACCCCATCCAGGGTGCTGGCTCTGGGTGCCCTGCTTCATACATCAAACTTGTACTTAAATATATTTCTTTCTTATGCTAAGAAAGCCACTTTATTTGGAACCCAGTGCTTCCCAAACTTATTTTTCCTGGAAGCTCTTCCTCACTTCCTGCAGATGTGCTGCAAGTGCCCTTCTATGACCTGGTGTTGGACCTGGAGGGTGAGAGGGTCCAGGGGCTGGGGGATGAAGACGGAGTTCCAGGCGCGGGGGCAGGAAGCGTCCGGAAGGCATGGCCGGAACCAGAGAAGGAGGAGGAAAGCATCTCGAGTTGAGGCTGGAGAGAGGGGCAGGGGACAGATCATTCAGAGCCTCGCTGGCTGCGTTAGAGACTCCAGACTTTATCCTGAAACCTCTGGAGAGACGGTGAAGGCCCTTAAGCGTGAGAGGAATCAGGTTTACCTTCGAAGAGACCACACTTGGCACAATGCGGAGGGTGACTTGCGGGTAGTGGGCGAGTGGTATGGAGGCCGTTGAGGTGGGCTAGTCTGAGCTGGTGGGTAGCCGTGAGGATGTAGAGGACGGCTCAAGAAGTGCCTGAAAGAGGGGCATCCCTGGGGGTCCAGTGGTTAGGACTCCACGCTTTCACCACCAGGGGCCAGAGTTTGATCCCTGGTTGGGAAACTAAGATCCCACAAGCCATGCAGTGTGGCAAAAAAGAAACATAAGCAAACAAACAAATAACAACAACAACAAAAAACAAGGCCTGGATCAGGCTCAGCAGGACTTAGTGATAGATTGCATGCAAATGATGATCAGGAAATGTGGACTGAATAACAGAGTCTGCAGTTTATAAAAGAAAAACGAAACTTGAAAGCCACTGGGCTCCATGAGCTTAAATAGCCTACCCAGGTCTTACATAAAAACGAGAAAAAGCAGTCATTGAGGTCCTTGTGAGTGCATCCACACTTCCCACTAGCCCCCACTGGGCAGTGGACGCTGTCCTTTTATCCCCTGCTTTGGGGGGTAGAGGTTTCAGGGCGAGGACCCAGGGCTGTGACTTAGCACCTGTGCCCACAGAGCTGGATCCTGGGGGTCCCGCCCTGTGTCCTCTGGACCCCTTGTCGGCTCAGCAGCAGTGAATGCAGGACCCGAGCTCTGACCATTCGGGGGGCCAAAATGTCTGTCCAGAGCCAGACACAGAGGCCGAGCTGACCTTCCCACACCTCTCCTCTGGGCTTGTGGGATGTCTGCCCTCAGGCACCCTGAGCCGGCCCCACCCCGCCTGTGCTGGGAAGCTTCCTGTCACCCCAGCCTGACTGCTCGGGCAGCTGGCCTATCCTGCCCGACTGTAGCATTCTGTCCGGTCGTGGACCACGTTAGGGGACTGGCCGGCATTCGTTGCATACGCTGCGCCCAGGGTTGGGTGGCCTGGATCACTTCCCCTTGTGGCCCTCCCCAGAGCCTGGGAGAAGCATGCACAACACACCTCAGCACCACCCCCCCCTCCCCCCGCACCCCCGCAGGCCCTTGTCTCAGCCCCAGGATGGAATGAGATCCAGAGAGAGTCTAGGTACCACCTGCCCGACTCGTGGTCACCTCCTCCCTCAGAGCAGGCCCAGGGAGCATGGGGCAGATCAGAATGCTGGGCGCCCCCAGTGTGGTGGCCCTTCAGAGCGGGCTCAGCTCAGGTGTGTGCCACCCCGATCCCTGCAGGCCCCCGAGCTGCTGGAGCAGCAGAAGTACACGGTGACCGTGGACTACTGGAGCTTCGGCACCTTGGCCTTCGAGTGCATCACCGGCTTCCGGCCTTTCCTGCCCAACTGGCAGCCGGTGCAGTGGTGAGTGAGGCCCGGGCCCGCCCCCCGGGAGGGTGTCCCCCGTCTTGGCCAGACGTCGCCTCGCCTTCCCGGTCTCATGGGGTGCCCCGCGCTGGGCCTGAGACACCTGTGATCTGTCACCCCAAGGAAGTCCTATCAGGACCTGGCGTGTGCACAGTCTGAGCTCCTAAAGCCTGGAGAGATGGAGTGTTAAGTGTCGGCCTGGATTCTGCACCTTGACAGCCTTAAATCCAGTGTAAATGACTGCTCTATGCGGGGCAGGAAGCCAGTGTGTTTGCAGAGTGTGTGTGGGGGGTGGTGTGCGCTTATGCCAGCAACACGCTCTGTTGGTAAAGAAGCAAAGGGCCTGTTCACGTGACAAATAATGAGACGTATGTATACGAAAGTCTATTGTTGACAAATTTTACTGTACCTCAGTACAAACTTTTTTCTTTTTTACATATGGTAAATACACTTTTTTTTTTTATGGTAACATACGCGTTTCAATGCTATTCTCTCATATCGTCCCACCCTCACCTTCTTCGAGTCCAATAGTCTGTTCTTGACATCTGTATTTCTTTTGCTGCTTTGCATATAGGATCATTACCGTCATTCTAAATTCCATATATATGCGTTAATATACTGTATTGGTAAAAGAATGAAACTAGAACACTTTCTAACACCATACACAAAAATAAACACAAAATGGACTAAAGATCTAAACGTAAGACCAGAAACTATGAAATTTGGTTTTAAAAGCATCAGACAGCGACTTAAAATGTGAGCCGAGTACACTGCCAAAAAAATACTTTCTAATAAGGAATATGATTAAGGTTTTTAAAACTATTCTGTATTTTTAAACTTTTCTTCTAATTGTAATATTAATATGTGGTTCATTATATACATAAAAGTTAATCATTACTGAAAAGCATCATTTCAAAGTTAATGTTCCCTTGAACCAATGAGGGTTCATTCACAATGATTCCTCGAGGGACCACACACTAACTGAAACGATAGTACCATTGTCCAGAATTTTTTATCTCCAGCTTTAGTGTTTGGAGCAGTGCTGAGTTCATGGGGTTCATCCTTCAGAAAGCAGAAGAGTGAGAAGTCACCCCACACCACCTGCTTGGTCCACGCCCCCGCCCCCAGCACAGACGCCTGGCGCTGTTGGCTTTGGGTCCATCTCCAGGGATGTTCTGTACGTCCACAAGCGAGCGGGCATGTATCTGTCGGCTGGCTCATTTGTGGATTTCACCCATTCTCACCTTGGTGATGACACCGCGGGCACGCCGCCCTGGGAGTGCTCCTCCAGGGTTTTTACACTGAGGACTTCCTCCCGCCACCACTAACACCTCTCCATCTCCAGACTCTTCTGTGTGCCTGTGTTTGTTCAAAACACAAAGTAGGTTACCACACACACTCTCATAGAACCTGCCCTTCACACGTAGCTGAAACAACTCGTTGTAGGGAAGTCCTGGTCCATCCACAGTTATTTCCCTGGGATATGTTCCTAGAAGTGGGATCAACATACCAAAGATCGTGCGCATGTTCAAGGTTTTTGGTTTTTACTAACAATGTGCTGCACAGTTTGTATAAATAACATTTCCACCAGGAACATGCAGAGGTCCCCCCACCCCCCGCTCTTTGGGGCAGCACTGGCTGACGTCACATTTCTCAGTATCTTTCTAGAAGTACCAAAAACACGGACTTTCTCAAAGGACGCAGGTACTTACATCATGAGAATGTTTATCTGTAAGACCAAGACGTAGCCTTTGAAATCCGTTCGAGAAGACTAGCTTTCCGTGACGCAGGCCAGTTTGGTCACCATTTACACATCAGACACTGGAAAAGACCCAGGCTCGGTCTCCGCACCCAAGGGGCCTGGTGACGTGGCGGAGGGCGCCCTCCCATGGGGACTGGCGGTGCTGACTTAGCTCCTTGCGTTACAGTCACACCGCATCACGCAACCGTCACGACAGCGACTGTAAACTGTCTGTACACACGTCATGTTTTTAACTCCCCGAGGGATGACCACAGTTCTCCCATTCAATGTTGAGCGTTTCCATTATTTATAGCAAGGTGAATCAGAATCCATCAGACCTAGAGGAAATGCCGTTTGAAACCATCCCTGATGGCCTGGCCATCTGCAGAGTCAACCTCCCTCACTTTGCCTTGAGGCCAGGTGACCCCTTTCAAGCACACATCTCTGAAACCCGAGAGTTTGTGAGACGTACCTGTCTGGTCTGCCTGCAGTGCCTTAGGCAACTTTAACAATTTCACTCTCATCTCAAACGGCAGGTAGATAGTAATTTCAGAACAAATGCAATTTGAGCTTTATTATCCTATCATAAAGGTGCTTTGAAGGACCAGTCTTGAAAGTACGTTTTAGGACCAGCTTCAACAGTGAGCGTCTCACTTACTGTGTCCTTTTATTTAGCTGTGTAATTTCCCATGGACAAACTTTTGAGTTTCTATCAGCACCATCCCACCATGTGTAATGACAGCCTGGCTTCCAGCAGGCAGTTTGAGCCCCATCCTGGCTCTTCCAGGCTCCGTGTGTTCCTCGTGGCTCAGTCTACCCCCTCTGCCAATGAGACTTCAGGCTAAAGCATCTTCTGTCTGAATCTCCAGCATCTTTTTGGAAAGGAAGGACGCAAACATTCAGAGTGGAAAGAGCACCTGCCCTTGGATCCAAGTCCCTGGTTCTGTCTTTCTCTAGTTGTGTGACCTTGGGCAGGTCATTTCCTCACCTGGTGAGGGTGGGGGATGGAGGACTGAAAACCGCCTGCCCCACGGAGGTCTCAGGGCAGAGAAGGGTGCGTTCACTGTCCGCGCTTGACTCTCTGCGAAGCGTTGTTCAGACTCCTGTCATCACGCTTGTCGCCGAGAACATGTGAAGCCAGTTTAAAATCTTTTTTCCTTAAACACTATTTCAGATACATCAAAAGGGTCTCCCTAATTGGAAAATGTTAGCGCTTCACTCGCCTTCAGAAGTCAGGCATAGCCATTGCATTTAGAGGAAGTACGTGGTGTGTGCAGATTTCACGTGAAAGAACCGTGGTGCGGGCATCCTATCTTCATTCTTTGTGTTAGATGGAAAGTAAAAGAACGAGCAGGATGGGCCGGGGTGAGGTCAGGAGACAGTGGTACAGGCCTGCAGGTTCCTGACTGTCAGGGCAGTACTGATGCCCTTAACCTCCTGAAGACGTATCCCAGCGGGTTGCATGGTTCAGTATCACCCCGGGGGGGATCCTATCTGATTGTCAAGTGGAAGGTCACCATGTAAGGGGCTGTTGGGCGCCTGCTGACATCAGGGTCACTACACACAGCGTGACGGTCGGCCGCCCACGTCCACAGGCACTCCAAAGTCCGGCAGAAGAGCGAGATGGACATCGTGGTGAGTGAGGACCTGAACGGGGCCGTGAAGTTCTCCAGCTCGCTGCCACACCCCAACAACCTCAACAGGTATGGCCCCGGCCTCCCACCTCCTCCTCCTCCAGTCCTGCCTTTCTAAAGATGGAGGTCAGGCCGACGTCCCCAGCAGCTGTGACCCCCGGTCCTGCTGTCATCCGTCTGGGTCTTAGCACGCCGTCCCCACCCTGCCCGTCTGGAGTCACCTCCTCGGCTCCCAGCATCGCTTGCCGCCCTCCTCACCCGTGGTGGCTCTGCCTTGCCCGCGTTTGGTCTCGCAGAGGGCTTATCTCCTGGTCAGCCGTAAGCCTCTGAAGGGTAGGGAATTGCCCCTTATTGCTCTTTGCCCATCCTCCTGAAGCCCAGCACTGTGTTGTTGTCAACAAATAAACCTTTGCGTTTTGAACAGCATAGCGGTCTGGTCTCAGAGCCAGAATATGAGCCGTCAGGTCATCTTACCAGAACCGGGAGATGGTTCGGAAGACAGCAGCTGGCAGCCCCATGGCCGAGGCGCGGCTCAGAGTTTCCATGAGTCTTTGGAGGACGGGGAGGGGGTCCCCTGTGGAGGAGCTGGGCTGGAACTTCCCGGAAGGATCTGGACCGATAGGCAGAGCGGGTGGATGAAGAGGAAGGCTCTCCAGGGGGGAAAGACTTGGGGGTGGCCAGGGAGAGGCAGCGGGTAGCGATGTTGGCCTCTGGAGGGCTTCTGTGGGGGGCAGGGAGGAGTGCTGGGGGTGCCCAGCAGTGCGGCGTGGACCCCTCAGACGCTTTCCAGGGAGTGACTGACAACCTGGATCGAAGTCCTCGATGCGGGAGGGGGCTGCTCAGCACCTGGAAAGCTGCCTGGAGGGTCTCGCACGGCCCTCTGCCCAGAGGTCCCCGACAGGAGGGTTTTTGCGTGGATCTGGTGGGGGCGAGGGGTTCGAGCCCCCGAGTGATTCATCTTGTTAGGGGGAGGCTCACCCTTCCTCAGTGTGATTCAGTCTCAGGGATCACTTTGGCCCCGTTCTGTGATGGTCACGTGGAGCGTGAGAAGCACATGTGCTTTTCAGTCCTCATGTGTGCCGAGAAGCTGGTGCTGGGCCTCACGCACATGCACGCACACACATGGGACGGAAAGCTGGTGCTGGGCCTTGCACACACGTGCGCGTACATGCACGCACATACGTGGGATGGGAAGCTGGTGCTGGGCCTCACTCATATGCACACACATGAGATGTGAAGCTGGTGCTGGGGCTCACACGCACGCATATGCATGCAGACACATGGGACAGGGAGCTGGCGCTGGGCCTCACACACACACATGCACACACATGTGGGATGGGAAGCTGGTGCTGCGCCTCACGCACACACATGGGACGGGAAGCTGGTGTTGGGCCTCGCACGCACATACATGCACACACGTGGGGCGGGAAGCTGGTGCTGGACTTCATACACATGTGTGCACATGTGGGATGGAAGGCTGGTGCTGGGCCTCACACACGCACATGCACGCACACATGTGGGGTGGGAAGCTGATGCTGGGCCTCACGCACATGCATGCACACACGTGGGGCGGGAAGCTGGTGCTGGGCCTCACACACGCACATGCACGCACACACGTGGGGCGGGAAGCTGGTGCTGGGCCTTGCACATGTGCATGGGCGCGCGCACACACACACACACATCCCGGCCCTCTCTCAGCGTCCTGGCCCAGCGGCTGGAAAAGTGGCTTCAGCTGATGCTGATGTGGCACCCGCGCCAGAGGGGCACCGACCCCGTCTACGGGCCCAACGGCTGCTTCAAGGCCCTGGACGACATCTTGAACTTGAAGGTGAGCCTGCACCCAGTCCGCCCCAGGCCGTGGACCCCCTGACCCCTGTGAGGGTGTGATGGGACCCTTGCTGGCTGATGGGTCACGAGGCGCTCGCCGGGGATGCACAGGAGGGGAGAGACTCCGGCCCGCAGACCCCAGGCGGGGCTTCCGAGAGGCCGGGCCGGCGGGCAGGCCCCCCGTCGAGCAGTGACCCCCGTGACCCCCGGGTTGTTGCAGCTGCTTCAGGTCCTGAACATGGTCACAGGCGCCATGCACACGTACCCTGTGACCGAGGACGAGAGCCTGCAGAGCCTGAAGGCGCGCATCCGCCAGGACACGGGCATCCTCGAGGAGGACCAGGAGCTGCTGCAGGAGGCGGGGCTGGCCCTGATGCCCGACAGGCCCGCCGCGCAGTGCCTCTCGGACGGCAAGGTGAGCCCGGCCTCCCGCGGGCACCGGGCGGCCCGGCAGCCGCGCCACCGGGCGGGCGCCTGCCCATTCCGAGGTGGGGACACGAGATCCCGCGGGCAGGTCACCCCACGCCTTACCTGTTCCTTCCAGACCACTGGGCACGCCTTTTGCCCTTGCCGCCAAAGCGATGCTTCATTCTTCCACGTCAGCCGGAACTGTTTCTGACCCCCTGACGTGCAGCACCGTGCTGACTGCTGCACACAATGAGCCGCACAGTTAACACGGGGGAAGAGCAATTGGCCAGTAAAGGAGATGGCGGGCATTGAGTTACACGATAAAGGCAGGGGATAGAGCAGAATGCACCACGCTGTAGATAAGCTGTGCGCTGAGGCAACAAGCATAAAGGGCACCGCCCAGGAGAGCAGAGGCCAGAGGCGCTGGGAGAGGCCTGCTGGGTGCCCGGCACATCCTGGCCCGGGGCGCTCTGGGGGAGCATCTCTTGGGGGAGACGGCGGGGCAGGGCCGCGAGGCCTCACTGTGGCTCTGGTCCCTTTGCAGCTGAACGAGGGCCGCACGCTGGACGTGGACCTCGTTTTCCTCTTCGACAACAGCAGGGTCGTCTATGAAAGCCAGGTCTCCCCCCAGCCCCAGCCGGAAAGCGTCAGCTGCATCCGTAAGCACGGCCTGTTCTCTTAAAAACATCCCTTACAGCTCTCAGGACAGAGCTGGGGGAGAGCCCTGGCCACGGGAGGGGTCCCCCAAGCAGGCGAGTCCACCCGGTCCTCAGACAGCCATCTTCAGTCGCACGTGTGAGCGGCAGCCCCGCCAGAGGCAGGACAGGACATCTTCAGCTAATTTCGGCCTCATCTAAACAGAGGACAGAGAAGATGGCCCACGGGCCGCTGACCTTAAATCACAAAACCATTTTATTTTTGAAGTTGTCTTTATATGTTAGTAATTAATACACGCACGTGATACCAAAAGGCACAATAGAATCATACAGTAAAGAGTAAGCCCCTGCGTGTCCCCAGTTTCCCAGGGAAGACTGCTCCAAACTCCTGGGTCTTCCTTCCAGGGTGTTCTGTGCTTCTGTAAATTTGGACGTGTGTGTACAGCGGGGTGCAAAAATGAGCAACACCCAAGCAGGCCCAACACCCAAGGCGGTTGTGTAACAGCTGAGCCAGCAGGCTCCGGGGGCGGGGTGCCGGCGTCCACCGCAGGCACTGCGCCCTGATCGTCGCCTGTGTTCCCGTTCAGTGCAAGAGCCCAAGAGGAACCTCCCGTTCTTCCAGCTGCGTAAGGTGTGGGGCCAGGTCTGGCACAGCATCCAGGCACTGAAGGAAGACTGCAGCCGCCTGCAGCAGGGCCAGCGCGCAGCCATGTAGGTGCCTAGAGCGCCTGGTGGCCCGGCCGCAGGGCGGGGGCCCGCGGTCGGTCGTCATCGGGAGGGGCAGGAGGGAGACACTGCTCTGGACGGGCAGGAAGCCATCGGTGGGCGGGATGGTGTGGTCCGTGCAGAGCAGGGGTGTGGACAGGGTGGGGGGCGGCTGGCCAGAGGGCTGGCCCGGCTCCACTGTGGGTCGGCCACCCTGCCGGCCCAGGCCGACTCCTTCCCCGGGTTGTAGCTGGTCTGGGTTCCTTTGCGTGGCACTTCACCTAATTCCAGTCTCGGAGCAGAGCCTCACCCATCACCACGGGCCAGGAAATTGTCGTGAAGGTTATAAGTGGCTGCTCTTGTTATGATTATACTAATTATAACAGGGGCCTGCCAAGGTGTTGGAGGCCGCTTTTATTACTGTCTGGGAAGTGGTACCTGGATCCCAAAGACGCCCATGGTGTGTCTCTTGGGGGCCCCTGCAGGATGAATCTGCTGCGGAACAACAGCTGTCTGTCCAAGATGAAGAACTCGATGGCTTCCATGTCCCAGCAGCTCAAGGCCAAGCTGGACTTCTTTAAGACCAGCATCCAGATTGACCTGGAGAAGTACAGGGAGCAGACAGAGTTTGGGATCAGTGAGTGCGTCCTTTGCAATCAGTCTGGAGAGACCATTAAACTCTTCTTTCTCAAGTGTTTTTTTGTTCTCTTATAACGGAGTTCCTTTTTACTTTCTTGGTTTTGGGGTGTTTTCATTTTGTGTTTTTTTCTTCCCTCCATGTTTTTCCTCCAGCGTCAGACAAGCTGCTGCTAGCCTGGAGGGAAATGGAGCAGGCCGTGGAGCTCTGCGGACGGGTAGGAGGCTCCCTAGGATCCCCAGCCCGGCCGAGGGCACCCCCTTCCCTGCCATCTTTCCCCTTTCTCACTGAGCGCTCAGTCCAGCTTCTGTGTCGGAAATCACATCTTCCTCGCCAAGGCTCCCTGCCCCCAGCTTGCACTTGCTGGCAGGAGGTGGGGTTGCCATGCAGAGGTCCCCAGTGTGGCCAGTCCGGGAGCCACACAGAGTCAGGCTTACGACGCGACGTGTCCCGGGGAGTGCAGACCTCTTCCCGCGAGAAGGGCCCTTGGATAAAGGAGTGGCACTCGGTCATGTCAGAAGTTGCCCTGACCTCCTCCTCGGGACACTGAACCCATAGGAAGGAACGGGTCTGAAGGGGCAAGTCTGAGGGCTGTGAATCAGACGCCGCTGAACAGTGTCGATCATGAGGCTGGGGAGGCGGAGTGTCCTGGTGGACCTCACTCGGAAGCCTGGGCTCCAAGGCCTTTTCCTGGACGTTTCCACCATATGCCCGGTGAACTCAGGCAGGCAGCCTCCCCTCCATGTCGTAGCGTCTGTTTCTGTAAATCGGTGCCGATGTGCTTCATTCGAGGTGGGCGACCCCTTGTTCAGGCACTGGGACGCAAGCCACCACTCCACACCCATCCCCGTCCCCCTGATCTCTGTCCTCGTGGGCGTAACCCCTGAGATCAAGGATGAGTTAGGAGAGGGGAGCATGCCCCGGCTGGTCTCCACCCCGGGGCCAGGCCAGGTCCTCTCCGGCCCCATCACATCTCGCCGTAGTCTGCAGTGGGGGAGACAGCAGCTTGGGGCCATGGTGACCTGCCCCAGGGCCACAGAGCTGGTGGGTGTCAGGCCCAGATCCCAGCTGCGGACTCCCAAGTCCATGTCCCTTCTAGCTGGGCAGCTGAAGGTCTGTGGTAAGGCCCGAGGACTCCCCTGAGAGCCCAGTGTCCCAGGAGTCCCTGGCCGATTCGGCTGGCCTCAGTGCGGCTCTGTCTCCAGGAGAATGAGGTGAAGCACTTGGTGGAGCGGATGATGGCCCTACAGACGGACATCGTGGACCTGCAGCGCAGCCCCATGGGCCGGAAGCAGGGTGGCACGCTGGACGACCTGTGAGTGTGTGTGTGCGTCTGTGCGGGGTGGGCGGGCTGTTTAAGCGTGGGTCTGCTGGAGCGCGCCCTCCCGTGCAGCCCGGCCCTGGGGAAGCCCTCTTGTCACGTTTGGAAGATGACCCTAGGCAGACCTCCGTCTGTCTGAGCCTCACCTGATACAGAAAAGCCGTCTGACCTCACAGTTGTGGGGAGCAGTTCAGATAAGGCCCCGAACCATGGTTCATGAGCTCCAAAGCATCAGGTCAGATGCCTGGCTACCCAGCATACCCCAACCCGGGCACGGCCCAAGAAGCAGGAAGTAGGAACGGAAGGAGCCGGGCAAGTCTTAGAAGGTAGGACCTTGACTCTTCATTTGAGTCCTGATCAGGACTTGGCCTCGGCTCCAGGGACCCCCCCGCCCCTTGCTGGGCAGAATAACCCCTCCTGGCATCTTGGGAGCAGATGGGGGCACCAGGAGAGCCTCCTTGGGGCTCAGCCAGGCTTCTGATGCATCTGCCAGGACCCTTAGGACCAGAAGCTCTGATTATCTGTAGCCTGTATTTTGTCAAGTTATTCAGCATTTTATTTTACTCTGGTTTTCAAACAAAAGTCAACTCCTGAAAATGTCAGCCCATCTCACTGTGTTAGGGCCCCAGGGAGGGCATGTCTGTTCCTGGCTTGAGTTTCAGGGGCCACGTTCTCTGAACTTAGGACCCGCACCTCTGAATTGCAGGGGCCAGGTGGGTGGGGAATCCTGAGGGACAGAGGAGGCTTCTGTCCTGAGGACTCTCAGGAAGTCTCAGCAGTGAGCTTTGAGGTGGAGTTTCGACAGTGAGCCGGGCCTCCCTGTGTCGTGGGTTTCGCCCGTGATGTCCCCAGGAAGCATCCTTTCCTCCAGCCGGGACGTGCTGCCCGCCCGGCTTCTAGAAGTCGGTGATGCTGCCGGAAGTGGCTCTGGTGCTCCAGGTGAGCTCATTAGCCTCTGGCGCTGACGGATCCGCTGCCTCGTGTGTTTCAGAGAAGAGCAGGCGCGGGAGCTTTACCGCAGGCTGAGGGAGAAACCGAGAGGTGAGTGGGCAGCCTCCCAGGTCCCCCACTGCCCAGCACCGGGCCGGCCCCCCCACAGACCGTGCGGCTCTGTCCTGCTTTGCAGACCAGCGGACTGACGGCGACAGCCAGGAAATGGTGCGGCTGCTCCTGCAGGCAATCCAAGGCTTTGAGAAGAAAGTGCGAGTGATTTATACGCAGCTCAGGTACCAGGCTGCCGTCCCCTCCCCTGGGCCCCAAAGGAGCTCCCGCCCGAAGCAGCCGAGCAGAGTCCTCCCTGCCGGGGCTCGCGTCCTTCTCCCCACTGACCCAGGCACGCTGGAGCTCATCGCGCTTGCTCTTCACAGTAAGACCGTGGTCTGCAAGCAGAAGGCCCTGGAGCTGCTGCCCAAGGTGGAGGAGGTGGTCAGCCTGATGAGCGAGGACGAGAAGACGGTGGTGCGGCTGCAGGAGAAGCGGCAGAAGGAGCTCTGGAACCTCCTGAAGATCGCATGTGTGAGTGAGCCCCGGCAGGCCCGTCCTGGAGGCGGCAGGGTCGGCGTCCACCTGTCAGCTGGGCCGGGCCCCCTCGGAAGGCTCAAGGGCAGAATCCCTCTCGCCACTTCTCAGACGCCACTGGCTCCAGCACTCCTTGGCTCGTGGCAGCATCACTCCAGTCTCTGCCTCTGACTCTGTGTGGCCGCCTTCTCTACGTCTCTCTCTCTTTCTAAAATTTGTTTCTTTTTGGTGGCACTGGGTCTTTGTTGCTGCCCGGACACTTTCTCTAGTTGCGGTGAGCGGGGGCTATTCTCGAGTTGGCAGCACGCAGGCTTCTCACTGTGGTGGCTTCTCTGGTTGCAGAGCACGGGCTCTAGGGTGCGCGGGCTTAGCCGCTCCACCGCACATGGAATCTTCCTGGACCAGGGATCGAACCCGTGTTCCCTTCATAGGCAGGCGGACTGTCCTCCACTGTGCCACCAAGGAAGTTCTCTTCTGTGTCTCTTGTGAAAACACTTGTTCCAGGGTCTAGGTCCCACCCAGATAGTCCAGAGCGATCTCATCAAAGGATCCTTAGCTACATCTGCAAAGATCCTTTTTCCAAACGAGGTCACACCCCGGGTTCCGGGAGACCTGCCTTCAGCTCCCGTGGGGCGTGCCTGCGGGGCCCTGAGCCAGGCCTGTGCTACGCAGCGCTCAGCCCGCCCTGCGTGCGCCCACCATCCCGAGGTGGCTGTGATCCCACCGCATGCTGCTCAGAGAGAAACCACAGCACAGAGGAGAGCCCAGGACAGAGACGGGAGAAGAGCCGAGAAAAGCTTGGAACCCAGCTGGCCGGACAGAGCCCGGCACGCAGGCAGCAGGGAGGCTGCGGCTGCGGACGCTGACTGCAGAGCCGCTCGGCCACGGGCTGGGGGAGGCCCGCTGCCTCTGGAGCAGCGGCTGCCTCGGCCCAGGAGTCAGAGCACCTCGGCCCCGTCTGTTCCCCAGGTGGCGCACGTCCGGAAGTCACCTAGGATCTCCGTGTGTTTGTCTTCTCCTTGGGAAGAGTAAACGCACCTTCCTTCTCATTTCCTTGTAAGGGTTTGTTAAACAATCCAGCTAATGAAGTAGAAGCCTCAGGGCCTCCCTTGGTGGTCCAGTGGTAAAGAATCCACTTTCCAACGCAGGGGACAAGGGTTCGTTCACTGGTCGGGAAACTAAGATCCCACATGCCACAGGGCAGCTAAGCCCTCACGCCACAACCAGAGAAGCCTGTGACTGCAATCAAGAGCCTGCTGAGCCAAAAAAACAAAAGTAAATGGCCAATGGTTGATTAAAATAAAAAAAAAAAAAGAACCCTGAAATCTCTCTGTATTTAGAATCGAAAAAACTTAAATGGCCAATGGTTGATTTAAAAAAAAAAAAGAAATAAAACCCTCACATCTCTCTGTGTTTAGAACCCTTAATCAAAAAAGTTACACCTGCAGATGCAGAAGCAGTTTCTAAGCCGAAATGCAAACCATCAGACGGCGACGTTGCCTGATTTGTGCAGGAAGAGCAAGTGTCTCATGGCCAAGTGGCTCATGAGAAAACCTCCTGCCGTGAAAGCAGAGTTTCAGTCATCCCTTTGCCCCCAGACTGCTGACTCTTTCTGGTTTTGCCCTCTAGAGCAAGGTCCGGGGTCCCGTCAGTGGAAGCCCGGACAGCATGAACGCCTCCCGCCTGAGTCACCCTGGCCAGCTGATGTCGCAGCACTGCGCGGCTTCCGACAGCTTGCCCGAGGCCGCCAAGAAGAGGTCAGTCCTCATCCGTGGTGCCCAGTGCCGCAGTCCGGGGCACGTCGAGAGGTCTTGGGCGCAGAAGCACGGGTCTCTTGTCGGTGACCTGCGTCACCCATCCGTAGCTCCGTGCGCGCCCGTTGGCGTCTGTACCCTGTGCCAGGCGCAGTGGGGGTGGACGTGGTGTGTTGCTCGCAGAGCTGCTTGAGACCTGCCCAGACAGATTTCCTTATCTGAGGCCAGGTTGCTCTCACTGGCTGGGAACCTTCTGTCCAGCGCTGACCAGTCCCGTGCTGTCCCCTCGTCCGTCCATCACTATCTGCTCATAGAAGCAGATCCCCAGGTGTCCGCTGGTCAGCGCACCCCAGTCACACATTGCTGGTTCCTCCTGTGGTCCCTCCCCCCGCACCCCGTTCACCCCTCCCTGCCCTGCCTGCTGCGCACTCCCCTGCTGCAGAGCTGGGCATGCAGCCTCAGAGCCCTTCCTGTGAGGTTTTCCCTCCCTGCCTACTGCCCATTGCTACCCCAGGCCCCCTCTGGTCAAATCTGTCTTCATGGGAGACTGTTTTGATGAGTTATTCTTCTGGAATATTCTGGAATATTCAGGGACCAGCCATGGCGGCCTGCTGCCTCGGGGCCAAGGCTGAGCCTTTTCCAGCCTCCAAGCGTCCTCTCCAGGCTCACCCCCGCTCCCAAGCAGCTCCTGGCTCTGCCCGGGGGTCTTAGAGCCCGGTCCAGAGCAGCAGCGTGAGTGGGTTCTGGGCTCTGGCTGGAGGTACAGGTTCAGGATCGGCAGCCCTGGGTAACCAGGCCGGGCTGACCCCGCTGCATCCTGGAGTCCCGGGTCCTCGGCTCTGCTGACGCCCTGCCTCCCATCCCCTCCGCGGTGCGGACAGACACGCACAGATCGCCGTCTCCTGAGACCCCCGTGTGGTTTCTTGTTTGTGGTTCAGTCTCACACCCATTTCTTCAGAGCCGTCCCTTGCTGGGCCCAGGCACTGAAGACGGCTAAAATCGATGCCTAAGGGAAATGTGCAGACTAGAAAGTAGACTCGATTGCTGAGGCAGGGGAGTGACTGACAGCAGGTACAGGGTTTCCTCTTGGGTGATGCGAGCGGTCGAGAACTAGACCTCTGCGGTGGTTGCGCGACGCTGTAAGTGCACTAGAAGTATGTAGTCGTGCACCTCAAATGGGTGAGTTTTATGGTTTGTGAGTATATCTCAGTAAAGCTGTTTTCAAAAAGTCCTGTTCCCCTACTTTGGGGAGTTTGTAGCCTGTACTGTTTGGGATTTTTTTTTTTTTTTCTATTTCTCTTGTTGGCCTCTTGGCTTGCAGAATGTATTTCCCAGCAGGGACTGAACCTGGGCCCTCGGCAGTGAGAGTGGCAAAGTCCTAACCACTGGGCCGCCAGAGGATTCCCTGTCTCGGATTCTTAATTCTCTCCCCAACTTCCGGTTAGCTCCCTGAGGGTGGCAGCCAGGTCCGGGGCCTCTGGGGCGGGCACAGAGCCTGGTGCCTGGTCAGTGGCCGGTGGCCGAGTCTGGGCTCTGCTCCTCCCACCAGCGCCCCCTTTGCGGTGAGAGGGGGAACTGCGGGGCCCTTCCTGTTGGGTTTGTCCGATCCTCAAAGCGCTGGGAAAGGCGTCCTGGGGGCGCAGGCTGCAGTCTGTCTGCCCACGTCCTGGAGCCAAGGTTAGAACAGGACAGGTGGCTTGCTTTGCTCTCGCTTTTCTCAGCCACGGCCTGTTCTCGGGACGTGTGCGTTTCTTCCCTTAGAGAAGGTGGGACGTGTGCATTTCTCATCATAGGAAAGGCGAGAGGGCAGCAGATCAATCAGTTCCTAGAACAGGCTGCTCCCAGTCTCAGAGAGCAGAGGACACTGGGGAAGTCTCGTGGTCTGTAGGTCTTTGTCAGTTTCAAAAACTGTGAAACAGGTGATCTGGGAGAGATTTTCAGATTGTGGCAGCTTAAGAGAGAACCTAAGAGATCTCTTCGGCTGCGAACTTTTTTATCAGGCCAGACCTGTGGCTTTCTCACGTCGTGAATGGCGATGCTCACAGCTGGCTTCAAGCTTCTGTAACAGCGCTCAAGAAGACAGATGAAATCGCTGAGGCCGTGTCATATGTTTTAAGACACTCAGTATCAGAATAATCGTTTAATTTTTAAAATCTTTGCAGAAGCCCTTTAGCATATCTGTACACAGTAATCTATTACTTTTGAAAAGTTCACACTGACCGTGTTCTAATAATCAATCGTTCTCTGCAGTGAAGACCTGGTGGCCGAAGCGCACACCCTGTGCGCCCAGCTGGAGAACGCCCTGCAGGACACCATGAAGGAGCAGGACCAGAGTTTGCGGGTAACGGCCCACGGGGACCCCCACTGCACCACACCTTTCCTTTTCTGCAGCCAACAAGGAGAAGCTGAGAGAGAGGCGCCGCCTTGCCGCCTTGATCTCGGTGTACACTTGGGGTTTTCTGGTACATCCTTTTTATTCATCATGATAGCGGGGCTGGCGGCTGTTGTTTGAGCGCAGGTACCTCACGTGCTCTATCTCCTTTCATCCTCACCACGCTTGGTCCTCGCGAGGCAGGTAACATCCCTGTGGGAAGGCCTCTCTCCCACTCTTCCTTCTGTGCAGTTGCTGGGCATGCCCGTAGGAGGTGCAGTGCGGGCTCCAGGGACAAAGCCGTCACCACCCCATCTCTCAGGGACTCGGAGCTTAGGGACTCAGCAAGACTAGCTCTAGGGAAGCTGATCTAAAGAAAAATGAGTCCAGGTGCAGAGACACCGAGGCAAAGCTGAACTTGCTGAGAGGCTGCTTGATCATCCGCTTGGGTCTTTTAATGGCCATTTCCTGCCAGTACAGTCTCGGTTTGGGGAGGCTGGAACTTCTCGGTTTGGGGGAGGATTGGAGGGATCGCTACCAGTGACGATCACCTCTTATTTCTTCAAGTGTCCTTCTCCGGATTGGTGCTTTGTGTGTCTCCTTGCTGCTCTTCCTCCCCTGGGCCCTGTATGTTTTGATCCTTGCACTGCCTGTTTGCTTCTGCTGGAGGCAAAGGAAGTCTGGCCAGGTGGTTCCACCTGGTGAGGCTGGAGGTGGAGAGCTGAGATGAGCCCTGGGCACCTGGGCTTGCAGTGGGCATAGGTCAGTGCTGTGAGCTGCAGGAATAACACTTAAATTGCCTGGCCAGAGTCTCAGGGGCTCCACACCCATCTGAAGATACGCTCCTGCACGGTCTCAAAGACATAGCTCTGGCTCTGGGGTCCCTTGCAGAAACTCGACTATCTCAATGAAAAGCTCTTGCCTGCCTTCTAAATCGTGCTGGTTGCCTCCCGAAGAAGAAAACCAGGTGCCAGGGTGGCTGCAGAGTTGTTAACATGCCCGTTGACTTTCAGTCTCTAGACTGGAGCTGGTTGCATTCGGAGGAGGAGGAACAGCAGAGCCTGGAGCGGGCCTCGTGACGGTGGGCAGCCCTGGCCATGATGTGCCGCCTGGCCCAAGGCCCCAGCGTCATTGCGCCTGGCGTCCTCGGCACCCAGATGGAGATCGCGCTCCTCCAGCAGCCGTGACAGTCACCGTGGACCGAAGGCGTGGCCCTCCGTGGGCACGGCCAGCAGCTCGTCCGCTCGCCGGATTTCCTCTGCTTTAGAGGCCCAGTGGACGTGGATCCGGGGGAGCAGCGTGTAGGAGATGCTGCCGGGGCCGCCACCGCCCCCGCATGGGGAGAGGAGTGCTCCAGACACGGTGGCTGCACCCAGCTGGCTCCCAGGACGAAGTCTGAGCGGCGCTCAGTGCCGCCTGCCTCCTCCTGACCCCTCCTGCTCTCCAGAGGAGGCCAGTCTTCATGGTTCACGGTTCACCTGGATCTGGCTTCTCTTGAGCAGACCTCGAAACTGCGGATCCCACCCTGCCCCATCCTCCTTCCTCCTGTGATCTCACTGCTGCTAACGTTTGTCCTTCCACCTGCAACCTGCAGCCAGGCTGCAGTCCTTCCAGCCAGCGTGACTGTCTGGAGCCAGGAGGGAACAGCATCTCCCTTCCTGCAGGTCCCAAAGAGTCCCTGGGAGCGAGCTACCTTGGAGAAGAAGGAAAGAAGGAAGGGGTGTCTGTCACCCACCAGCCTGCTGACCCCCTGTGCCCACAGCCCTGCCCCGTGTGCAGCCGTCAGGGGACGGGGGAGGTCCCGCCCCTCGTATCCTCTCACGGTATTATTTAGTGAATGTATTTAAAAAACAGATTCTCTTATTTTGCAACATGACTCAGATCCCACTATTTTTATAATACCTCTGGTTAGGACTTAACAAACTCAAAACCCAACTGCAATGGAACGTTTGAAGAAATCAAGCGGTGCCAGAGCCCGCACTGCCTCTCTGTCATCTCACAAAAGCTTCTCCTCCATGTAACAGAAGGACTGCACGGTGAGCTCGGGTGATCCCGAGCAGGCAGGTGTGGTTGGAGAAGAAAGCCAGACGAGAAGAGTTTCACAGAGTGCCTTCCGTGGAGGCGGTACCGTGGGTTCCATGTAAAGGACGTTTGGGGAACAGCGGTTCACGCTTTAAGTGCCTCTTAGAGATTCACACTGTGCACTGGTTTACTGAAGGATCTGAAAGTCCTGTGATAATAAACTGGCTTACTTCTGCCTAAATCCACTGTTTTCCCAACTCGCTTGATAATAACACCTTTTATTTTTCTGCCATGTGCATGTAACATTGATATAACTCCCAAAGAACTAGAGTGTGATAAAGCATGATTTTGGAAACACTGGTGAAGAATACAGTGGGAATTTAGACCGGAATGGTAGGCTGGGATGGGGTCAGATTAGGGAGGGAATGATTGTCAAACTAAGAGTCAGGGGCCAATTTCAATGGCAGTTGGAAGTCACTGAAGAATTCTGAGTAAGGAACCATCACCAAAGTTCATGCTTCAAAAGAGTAACGTGGGGACTTCCCTGGTGGTGCAGGGGTTAAGAATCCGCCTTCCAGTGCAGGAGACATGAGTTCAATCCCTGGTCGAGGAACTAAGATCCCACGTGCCAGGGGGCAGCTAAGCCCACACACCACAGCTAGAGAGACCGCAGGGGAAGATCCAGCATGCGGCAACTAAGACTCAATGCAGCAAAATAAATAGAAAATTCTAAATACAAAAATGATAAAAGAGTAATATAACTCGAAAATGTTAATAGGTTGAAAAAATGAAAACCCTGGAGGTTGGACTCCTACTTCCAGAAAGTGAAGCAGATGTGCTTCCCCACCTTCTAGTACAGCTGAGACCCTGGGACGTTATTTACAAACAGAAGACTCTGAAAGATAGAAAAATGCAGAGCCGCGGGGACCTTGGCCCTGAGCAGTCACACGCGGTGAGCTCCCCGGGAACTCCTCTTGCCCCCATGTGTCCCTGGCGGGCTCTGGAAACACCAACCAATGACAATACCCATTCAAGATAAAAGTCTCAGAAAAATAGAACTAGCAGGAAACGTCAACTGAATGAGTAGCATCTACAAAAAACCAACAACTACCACTTTACTTAATGGTGAAAGACTGATTGTTTTCCCCTTCCAATTCAAATAAAGCAGGGATATCCTCTCTCACTTCTGTTATTTAACAGTACTAGAGGTGTTAGCACAATAAGGCAAGAGAAAGAAATAAAAGACATAGGGATTGGAAGTGAGATAAAACTGTCCTTATTTGCAGATGGCATGATGGTTTATGTTGTTTTTCAGTCGCTCAGTTGTATCCAACTCTTTGCAACCCCATGGACTGCAGCATGCCAGGCTTCCCTGCCCTTCAGTGTCTCCCAGAGCTTGCTCAAACTCATGTCCATTGAGTCTGTGAGGTCATCCAGCCATCTCATCCTTTGTCACATACTGGTGCTCCTGTCCTCAATCTATCCCAGCGTCAGGGTCTTTTCCAGTCAGTCAGCTCTTCACATCAGGTGACCCAAGTATCGGAGCTTTAGCTTCGGCATCAGTCTTTCCAGTAAATATTCAGGGTCGATTTCCTTTAGGATGGACTGGTTTGATCTCCTTGCTGACAGGGGACTCTCAAGAGTCTGCTCCAATACCACAGTTCGAAAGCATCAATTCTTTGGCACTCAGCTTTTTTTATAGTCCAACTCTCACATCCCTGCATGACTGCTGGAAAAACCATAGCTTTGACTATATGGATCTTTGTCGGCAAAGTGATGTATCTGCTTTTCAATCCTTTGTCTAGGTTTGTCGTAGCTTTTCTTCCAAGGAGCAAGCGTCTTAATTTCATGCTTTAGTCACCATTTGCAGTGATTCTGGAGCCCAAGAAAATAATGTCTGTTGTTGTTTCCACTGTTTCCCAATCTATTTGCCAGGTAGAAATTTCAAAGAATCTACAGAAGCTCTCCTAAAACTAAAGAGTGACAGGATACAAGATAAATATTCAAAATTCTATACTAGATGAGAACATGAAACCCAAAATTAAAAATACACTAGCATTTATAATTAACCCAAAACCAAATTAATACTTAGATGTACTAGTATCCAACATCCAAATAGCTCATATACCTCGATATATATATATTTTTAAAACGCAACCTGATTAAAAAATGGGTAGAAGACCTGAAGAGAAATTTTTCCAAAAAGGAAATGCAGAGAGCCAACAGGCACATGAAAAGATGCTCAGCTGATCATCAGAGAAATGCAAATCAAAACCACGGTGCGATATCACCTCACATCTGTCAGAGTGGCTGTCATCAAAAAGAACACAAGTAACAAATGTTGGCAAGTGTGTGGAGAAGAGGGATGTCCAGAACACTGTTGCTGGGAATGTAAATTGGTACAGCCACTATGGAAAAGTATGGAGGCTTTTCAGAAAAACGGAAAATAGTACTACCATATGACCCAGCAATTCCACTGCTGAGTATATATAAGAAAAAAAAACCACTAATTACAAAAAGTACATATGCATCTCAGTGTTCATAGCAGCATTATTTGTGATTGTCAAGATATGGAAACAACATAAATGTCCATCAACAGATACATGGGTAGAGAAAATGTGGTATATATACAATGGAATACTGTAAAAAAAGAATGGAATTTTGCCACTGGTAGCAACCTGGATGGGCTCGGCAGACATTATGCCAAGTGAGATAAGTCAGAGAAAAATACAGTGTGATATGACTTAGATGTGGAATCTACAAAGTACAACAAACCTGTGACTGTAACGAAAAAGAAATAGGCTCACAGACACAGAGAACTCACTAGTGGCTACAATGGGGACAGGGAAGCTGGGAGGGAAAACATTCGGGAGAGGAGGTATCGGTACACACGACCGGTGTAAGACGGGCTCAGGGATGTACTGTACACACAGGGAATGTAGCCCACATTTTGTAGTAACTATAAATGGAGTGTAACCTTTAACATTGTATAAAAATAATAATAAAAATAGATCCCAAGAACCTCCCCCCCAAAAAAGCTAGGTGTAAACCTAACAAAACATGTGTAGGACTTGTATGCTGAAAACTGTAAAAATGAGGATGAAGGAATCCAAAGGACTAAATAAATGAAATATGATTGAGAAATAGCATGTTCATGGATTGGATGACCTAGTGATTTAAAGTATCAGTTCTCCCCACGGTAATAATCAGGCTGAATAATTTCTATCAAAATCCAAACAATACTTTTTGTAGGTATAGGCAAAATCATTCTAAAATTAGAATGATTTTAGCTTAGGTGCTAAAATAATTGTGAAAGAGAAGAGTGAACTGGAAGTAATGACACTACCCAGTTTCAAGACATTACAGTCAGGACTGTGATGTTAGATAAATGGACACATCATAGATCAATTGAGTAGAATAGAGGGCCAAGAAATAGCCCCACACAAGTACACAGCTGATTTTTATTTTTAATTTAAAAAAAAATCTTTTTTTTTGGACACAGCTGATTTTTTACAAACGTGCAAAAGTAACTCAATGGAGAAAGGACAGTCTTCTGTTTGTTTGTTTGTTTGTTTGTTTGTTTTAGCCATACCACACGCCTTGCAGGATCTTAGTTCCCCGACCAGGGGCTGAATCCCAGGCCACGACAGTGAGAGGCAAGTCCTAACCCCTGGAACACCAGGGAATCCCGAAAGATAGTCTTTTTAAACAAATAGTTGTATTTCCATTAGCAAAAAAAAAAAAAAGATCATAAACTTAAGTATAAAATGTGAAACTATAAAACTGATGAGAGAATGCATAAAATTTTCCAGGTGTAGAGCTTGGTGAAGTTTTCAGGCATTATATCGAAACTATGGTCCATAAAATTTTAAAAATAAAGTAGACTCTATCAAAATTGAGAACTTTTCCTCTGTGAAAGATACTTAAGGGAATGAAAAGCTATAGACTTGGAGAAAATATTTGCAAGCCATATAGTTCACAAAATATTCCTCTAGAATATATAAAGAATACTCAAAGTCATCTTTTTAAATTGACAATCTCATTAGAAAATGGACAAAAGCCATGGAGAGACATTTCACAAAAAAACAATTATTTATATGCACACATGAATGGCAGTCATGTAAATAGATGGTCATTAAACTGGTTACTGCTGCTGCTGCTAAGTCGCTTCAGCCGTGTCTGACTCTGTGCAACCCCATAGACGGCAGCCCACCAGGCTCTGCTGTCCCTGGGATTCTCCAGGCAAGAACACTGGAGTGGGTTGCCAGTTCCTTCTCCAGGGCATGAAAGTGAAAAGTGAAAGTGAAGTCGTTCAGTCGTGTCCGAATCTTAGTGACCCCATGGACTGCAGTCTACCAGGCTCCTCCGTCCATGGGATTGTCCAGGCGAGAGTACTGGAGTGGGGTGCCATTGCCTTCTCCGAACTGGTCACTAGAGAAATGCAAATTAAAATGATTCATGATAAGACATTATCACTTATCAAAATGGCTAACTTAAAAAATAGTGACAATGTGACCTGAACCCTCAGGAAACAGAGTCACTCATACATTGCTCATGGCATGTGAACCAGTGCTCTGGCATGGTTTGGCCGTTTCTTAGGAAAAACTAAATGGATACCATATGCCTCAGCAATCAATCATTATTCTTAGCGTTTATCCTAGAGAAATGAAATCTTATGTCCACACAGAAGGGTGTTCATTGCAGCTTTATTTTTAATGGCTAATAACTGGAAACAACACTTCCTACAACAGGTGAATAGTTAAACTATGATACATCACAGCTTGGAGATCTCAGGAATAAAAAAGCATGAACTATTGGTATGGGCAACAATTTGGATGAATCTCAAGGATGTTATTTCAAGTGAAAAAAAACAGCTGGTCTCAAACAGTCACACACTGCGTAGTTCCATTTATAGTATCTTTCTCAGAATGACTTATGAAATGGAGAATACAGGGAAATTAGTGATTTCCTGGAATTAGGAATGTTGGAGGGTGGATATTTAAGCGTAATCCAAAGAAGATGCTTATGTTGTGGTAGAATTCTGTATCTTGATTCTGGTGTGTGCTTGCAGGCATGCCTAGCCACTTCAGTCGTGTCTGAGTCTGTGCGACCCCATGGCCTGTAGCCTGCTTGACTGCTCTGTCCATGGGATTCTCCAGGCAGGAATACTGGAGTGGGGTGCCCCTCCTCCGGGGGGGCTTCCTGATCCAGGGATTGAACCTGAATCTCCCACATTGCAGATGGACTCTTTACCATCTGAGCCACCAGGGAAACCGATGAATACTGGAGTGGGGTGCCATGCCCTCTTCCAGGGGATCTTCCGAATCCAGGGATTGAACCCAGGTCTCCCACGCTGCAGGCAGATTCTTTACCCTCTGAGCCACCAGGGAAGCCCCAGTGGTTATACAAATCCGTATGTGATACAGTGCCATAGAGCTATATGCACACATTCACTCACTGTCAGTTCCTGGTTTTAAGAAAAACTAGGTGCAGCTTGCGTGAGATCTTTCTATGGTGTATTTGCAACTTCTTGCAAATCTTGTAATTGTTTGGAACTTTCCATAGATCTGTAGTTATTTTAAAATTAAAAAGTTTAACATCAAAAGATCCCTGGAGGTGGAAGCCCAGTTTTGTGGATGGATGTTGGTGAGGGGGGGGTTGGGGAGAAGAGGCAGAGCTGGTAATGATGGAAAAGGAAAGTCTGTGAGTGATGTGGACATTTAGGAATATGTTCTAAGTACATGCAAGAGTGCTTAGCAATGGACAAGCCTAGAGATGCTCGTACTAAGTGAAATAAGTCGGATAGAGAAAGACAAATATTCTGTATTCTTGTTTATATGTGGAATCTAACAACATACTGAACAAATGTATATAACAAAACAGAAACAGACTCAAAGATACAGAGAACGAACTAGTGATTACCAGAGGGGAGGGATATGATAGAGGTGGGGGTTAAAAGGTACAAACTATTATGTATAAAATAAGCTACAAGAATGAATTGTACAGTACAGGGAATATAGCCATTTACTCTATAATCCCCTTAGATAAAATTTAATCTTTAAAAATTGTGAATCACTATGTTGTCCACTTGTAACTAGTATAATATCGTAAGCCAACTATACTTCAAAAAAAAAAAAGTGCTCATTATGACCATAATTCCACCTTTTCTTTCAAAGTAACCACCAAATTCTTACCGGTTGTAAGAACAGACTATGGCCAAAAAAAGGCAAGACCGTTTGTCAATGAAATACAAGCCAAAGGACCGTCAGTCACATGTGCCAGGCAATGCAATTGAAGGTGAGAGAGACAGTCGGGTCCCTCTGAAGAGCTGAAAAAATTCAAAGCAACAAGAGGTGGTGTGACTCATCCATTGTCATAGGGGATTAGCATTATGATATTGTGCCATTTAGTTGGTGGCACTTTTTTACTTAGTGGTATTGGGTTGGCCAAAAGGTTCATTCAGTCTTTTTCTGTAAGATGGCTCTAGTAGCACTTAGCTATCTTTGAAAAGTGAAGTCGCTCAGTCGTGTCCGACTCTTTGTGACCCCATGGACAGTAGCATGCAGCAGGCTCCTCCGTCCGTGGGATTTTCTAGGCAAGAGTACTGGAGTGGGTTGCCATTTCACTTCATTCAAAATAATTTTGTTACATCATACTGTGACAGCTGTCATATCCTCACGCATTAAAAATAAACTTACCACGATTGGTGAATTCTTATGTAGCCATTTAAATATTGAAGATGGAAGAAAAAGGGAACATTTTCAGCATATGATGCTTTATTATTTCGAGAAAGGTAAAAACGCGACGGACACACACACTATTTGGGCAGCGTATGGAGAACGGGCTCTGACTGATCGAACATGTTAAAAGTGGTTTGTGAAGTTTCGTGCTGGAGATTCCTCACTGGATGATGCTCCACAGTCAGGCAGACCAGTTGAAGTTTATAGCAGTCAAATCAAGACATTAACTGAGAACAGTCAATATTATACCACGTGGGAGACCGGCAACATGCTCAAAATAGCCAAATCAAGTCTCAAAAATCGTTTGTACCAGTTTGGTTATGTTCATCGCTTTGATGTTTGGGTTCCGCATAACCGAACCATATTCTTGACCATATTCCCACTTGTGATTCTCTACTTAAGAGAAATGGAAACATTCCTTTTTTTTTTTTTTTGAAACATTCCATTTTTAAAACAAGTTGTGATGGGCAATGAAAAGTGGATACTGTACAGTAATGTGGATAGAAGGGGTCCGGGGTCCCTTCCTCTTCATCTACATCTCTCTGCGTCGGTGACCTCATCAGAGAGGGCTCTCCTGGCCAGCCTCTCTGCCTGGTACCCACTCCCTGCCTCACCTCCCAGGGCTGCCCTGTAACTCTCTTGTCTTCTTCGGTTTTATGCTACTTATTACCATCGGATATATTTATTTGTGCCTCTACCCGCCCACTAAAGAGGTCCACAAAGCATGGGATTAACAGATACACACTACCCCTTATAAAGTAGATTAACAGCAACTCCTGTCGTGAAGCACAGGGCATTTCAGCCTCCCCGATGTCAGTGGGTAAAGAATCCACCTGCAACGCCAGAGACACGGGAGATGTGGGGTTTAGTCCCTCGGTCAGGAACATTGCTTGGAGTAGGAAATACCCACTCCAGTATTCTTGCCTAGCAAATTCCATGGACAGAGGAGCTTGGAGGGCTACAGTCCGTAGGGTCGAAAAGAGCCAAACACAACTGAGCGACTAAGCATACACACATACAGGGAACTATGCTCAATATCTTGTCATAATCTATAATGGAAAGGATTTCAAAAGAATGTTTGTGTAAATGTATAGATTTTTTAAAAGTATATATTTGATTATATTTTAAAGAATGTATGTATATTTTAAAAGGATATATTTGATTATATGTATGTATATTTTAAATTTTATATTTTAATATTTATTTATTGGGCTGCATCAAGTCTTAGTTGCAGCACTCAGGTTTAGTTGCTCATGGCATGTGGGATCTTAATTCCCCGCCCAGGGATCAAACCACTGTCCCCTGTATTACAAGGCAGATACTTAACCACTGGACCACCAGGGAAGTCACAAAATGTGTGTGTATATATATATATATATATATACACATATATATATATATATTTTAAAGAATGTGTATATATATTTTTGGTTATATGTATATATACACACGTGTATACCAAATCACTTTGCTGGTACCTGAAACTAACAAAATATTGTAAATAAACTTCAGTTTTTAAAAATAAACCTCCACAGGATGGGACTTGGTCTGTCCATTGCCATATACCGAGACTCCAGAGCAGTGCCTAGCTCTTAATAGGTATTCAATAAGTATTTATTGATTGAATGAGCACTTTTTACCCAGAGAAACTTCCCCAATCACATTTTGTCTCAGCAGTGCCAAGCCCTACTGTCTCTTTAAAGGTTTCAGGCTTTGGGGATCTTGGAATGAGAGACAAGGACTTTTCCCTCTGTTACTTTTTGTTTCCCTATAACTTTTCTTTTTCCCTATAGCTTTTTTGTAACAGAAACAACTTCAATTATTGTCTTGGGATGGTGGAAGGAAGGAAAAAATTGACAGTTCAGGTTTCAAAAATATTATCCCCAGAGCAGCTTTTATGTTCCATTTTCCCAAGACAGTCCACAGACTTGTAGGTTGTAAAGTAGAGAATGGTATTTCTGCAGGAGCCAAAACACTTTACATGTAGAGCCCTGAGGCCCTGCTCATCACCGCTCCCCCGCCCTTTTTTTTTTTTTTTGACCACACCACATGGCTTGCAGGATCTTAGTTCCCCGACCAGAATTGAATCCTCAAGCTTCGCAGTGATAGTGCAGAGTCCTAACCACTGGACCGCCATGGAATTCCTCTTGCTCATCACTTGATTTCCTCCCACCCATCTCTGCTCACTCCTTTGCACTGTGTGTGAATCTTTCCAGTTCTCCCAATGACTGCTGGGGCTTCTAAAGCTTTCAATCCCCCTTCCTCCTTTTCCCCGCCTATGCTCAATTTTGTAGACTTTCAATAAATAATTATTTTTTAAATTGCTCCAGTTAGGAGCCCTAGAAGAATCTCAGAATCTATATTCCAAGTTAGATTTTGTTGTGTCAGTTTGTCAAAATGGTGACAAAACAGGATGACCGACTTGTCTGTTTGCCCAGAGCTTTCCTGGTTTTAGCTTTGAAAATTCTGTATCCCAATAAACCTCCCAGTCCCTGCCAACCCAGGACGATCACCATCCCACATCATAATCGGTCCATATCCTGTGTCATTTGAAATATTTGCCACTTTGCTTCAGTAAGATTACAATTTAGGATATTCATTCAAGTATTTATGGGGCATCTCTATGTGGCAAAGAAAGATGAAGCCCCCTCTCCCGTGGAGCTTAAAATCCATGTTGGCAGGAGGGAGAGTGGGGCAGGGAGCAGGTAACAGGTAGGTCACATGTGTGTATGTTTCAAATACTTTTCTTTTTTGAAAAAAAAAAGTATTTATTTGACTGTGATGGGCTTAGTTGCAGCCCAAAAGTTTCTCTAGTTGCAGTGCCCAGGCCCTAGATCTCACCAGCTCAAGTCATGGCAGGCCAAGGGCTAGTGCCCTGCAGCATGTGGGATAATCCTTCCCCATCCAGAGATTGAACCTGTTTCTCCTGCATTGGAAGGCGGACACTTAACCCTGGACCACCCGGGAAGTCCCTCAAATATTTTTCATGCTAAGATGAAAATAAAAGGCAAGAATGGAACAGATAGTGCCCAAGTGTTGTTTGGAACTGTGACAAGAACGCAGCTCCTGGGCGGGGACTCAAGCAATGAGCAGAAGGAAGCCAGGCAGCTGCCTGAACAACGAGAGAGAGCCCTGAAGCAGGCACCTGTGTGCACACGTGTGCCCCAGACAAAGGGGAAGGTGACAGGAAGCGAAGCGGGGGCATTAGTAGGAGGTGGATCACATGAGGCCTTACAGGCCATGAAAGGGGTGTGCTTTTATTCTAAGTGCAATGAGAGGGTATTTAAGCAAATGAATGACATATGCTGATGCATGTTTTTAAAAAATCACTTTTGTCCCATTTGGAGAATGGTCCGTAGGGAAGAAAAGCAGAAGTGGGGAGCCCACTGCCTCCCACTAGGAGGCAGTAACAAGGAAGCAAAATCACAGGAGGTTGGACTAGGGTGGTGGCATAGAGGTGGCGAAAGGTAATCCAATTCAGAATAGATATGCTGGAGACAAACCAGACAAGACTTGCTGAAAGATTGGATTTGGGGTACGAAAAGGGCAGTTAAGAATGGCTCCCCAGGTTTTGGCCTGATGGCAGGGCAGATTAAATGTCATAACTCAGGGAAGAGTTAAGGAGCAGTTAGTGGGGGCAAGAAGTAAGAATTTGGAGGACGTTTTATCCTCAAATGTCTATGATGATGGACAGGGAGGATGTCCACTGTGCAGTTTGATATATGAGACTAGAGTTCAAGGAAGATCAGGACTAAAAATATAAAAGGAGTCTTCAAAGGAGACATGTCATTTTTTTAAGTTTTTAGTTGGAGGATAAATGCTTTGCAGTGCTGTGGTGGTCTCTATCCTACATCAACTCTAATTAGTCCTAATTGTATATACATATCCCCTCCCTTTTGAGCCTCTGTCCATGCCCCATCCCACCCTTCTAGGTAATCACAGAGGGCCAGGCTGGGAGACCTGGCGTTTAAAACCAGACAAGGTGGAAAAGCCAGTTAGAGGATCCAGGCCACAGGCACTTTCCCAAGAAGGTTGGTGGGTGGAGGAGAAGCCGGGAACCTGCACAGACACACAAGCAGCTGAAAAGGAGTGGTTAGTAAGGCAGAGCAAGGAAGAAGGGAGACCCACAGCGTGGACTGGACCAACTTGGAAACCAGTGAAGACAAACTACAGCAGGAAGACAGTGACCGCTGGGTCAAATGTTACTGGTGGGTCCAAGGAGACAAGGTTGGTCCAGAGTACTGATATTTTCCTTGGGTTTTCTGAAACTGATTAAAATATATATATATATACACATACACACACACACATATATATAATATATGTAACATATATATATATACACACACACATATAAACAGTGATCCCACAATTTCCCAAACTTTAGCTTTCATCATTTAGAGGGGAATATAAACTTTTTTTAAATGAGAACAATCCTTCAGAACAAAATAATAGGAATAAAATCTGGAATAGAGATTGCACAGGAAAAATGAGAATAGAGAATATCTAAATGTTCTCAAGGGACTCAAGGTGCTGAGAAGCTTCAGAATAAAGTTTAAAGGCCAAGGATAAGCTGCTGCTGCTGCTAAGTCACTTCAGTCGTGTCCGACTCTGTACGACCCCACAGACGGCAGCCCACCAGGCTCCCCGGTCGCTGGGATTCTCCAGGCAAGAACACTGGAGTGGGTTGCCAGTTCCTTCTCCAAGGCATGAAAATGAAAAGTGAAAGTGAAGTCGCTCAGTCATGTCCGACTCTTAGTGACCTCATGGATTGCAACCTACCAGGCTCCTCTGTCCATGGGATTTTCCAGGCAACAGTACTGGAGTGGGTTGCCATTGCCTTCTCCACCAAGGATAAGGGGATAATGCAAATATTTATTAAAAATTTTACAAATGTAGAAAAGGGTTACTAGTAATATTTTAAAAATCTAGTAAGTTAGTAACAGCTATCCATTAGAAAAATGAAGAAAATATAAGAAATACGAATGTCCTAGAAGCATAACTTAAGATGTACATGAATATTGTAAAATACAAAAACCAAAAAACAAGCATGACCTAATCACAGAAACTAATTACATCTAAATAATTATTCCATTATTGAAAAATAACGAGGATCTTAAAAGGACTGGGTTAGAAGACTGGAAGTATATGTCACAAAACATTAATAGTGGTTAAACTGGAATGGTGACATACTCATTGATGTTAATTATTTTATATTCTCCTTTTATACACTTCTCAGATTTTGCTACAGTGTTATGTATCATTTTGTTAAGTTTTTAATTTATACAGAGAACAATTGCCTGGCATTGACAGTTGAGTATGAACCTCAGGAGTTACTCTTGTAAATAAAATATTGCTAATGTCACATTTTCGCTTCTCAAGCAGACTTGTAAATTTCTCAGATACAGGTCATGTTGTAATGGCAGTTGCATTGCTCATTAGCTAGGTTAAGGAATTGTTAGTGGTTTTTTCACTTTGGCCCCTAGCACAAATGTGTTAGTTGCTCAGTCCTGTCCAACTCTTTGTGACCCCATGGACTGTAGCCCATCAGGTCCTTCTGTCCTTGCCTGGGATTTTCCGGGCAAGAATATTGAAGTGGGTTGCCATTTCCTTCTCCACCTAGCACAAATGGAGGGGAATAAAACACAAAATATCCTTGGACACGGGTTGGCATATCTGCCAGCAAATCTGGTGCGGGAGCCTTTCCCGGGATCCGCGGGTTTTGTCCCAGGCTCCTGCGGCGTGTGCCCTCCGCAGCGTGGGCTGCACTGCGGGCTCACACAAGCATCGGACAGTAAGTCTTACTCTGGTGTTGCCCCTACTCACACGTAAAGCACGTGATGCATTCGGTAAATTATCATTATACACAGATGGTGTGTATCCTACCCCCACCCCATCATCTTACATAACCCCATCATCTGAAGTTTTCACTTAAGAATCAAAACCCGACTTCCGCTCCTAGGGGGAGGACTGCAGAGAAATGTACCGGGAAGACAGGTCCAACGCCTTACGTCAGGAATCCAGGTCTTCCCAGAGAAACACCCCTGGCTTGTAATCCCGAGGCACCCAGATTCCCACCTACACACGGAAGCTCCGCTCCGGCTTTCTCCTCCTGGCCCCGCGCACTCCAGATTCGATTTGCTGGCTCGCCGTGCAAGCCCCGCCCGTTGCCCCGCCCCTAGCCACGGCCCCACCCACGAGGCTCGGATGGTGCCTCAAGTACCGCCTGGGTCCCGCCCCCAGAGCGTGACGTCACTCAAGCGCCGCGCGCCGCGCCCCCTGTCAGAGGAGGCCATTGTTCAGCCGGTCGCGCTGGCTTCGCCGCCGCTGGGCTGGTCCTGCCCCCTCGGCGAGTCCCGGCGTGTCCTCAGAGCTGGGAGAGGGGGCCGTCCTGGGCGGTGAGCTCTCCGTGGTCCTCGGGCGCTGGCCGCCATGAGCAAACGGAAGGCGCCGCAGGAGACTCTCAATGGGGGCATCACCGACATGCTCACAGGTTAGTCCGGCGGGCGCCGCCGTCTTTCTCCTTTGCTGCCTCCCCGCCGCCTTCCCTACCTTCCCTGCCGTCCTGACAGCCCAGGACGAGCCGGCCGCCCGCAGCGCGGGGTCTTCAGTGCCGACCTTCGCTCCGCCGCCGATGGCCGGTTGTCAGCGCTGCTGGGGACCCTCGAGTCGCTCTTGGGCTGCCTTGAGCTGGTGTGCCCGCGGGGGATCACTGGTGCCTTAAGAGGTTGTTAACGCCTCCTTCCAGGAAACTCGGTTCTTGTTTGTTTACTCGTGGCTCTTGTTCACCCGGACCTCTTGTTGCCTTTTCAGAACTCGCAAACTTTGAGAAGAACGTGAACCAGGCTATCCACAAATACAATGCCTACAGGTGGGACGGTGCAAGCATTCTCTAGTAGCATGCGTTCTGGGATGTGTGGCAGTTGATGGGACTGAGGGTCCCCGTGGACATTTGAACCATCTGCATAAGGAGGAAAAAAAAAAAAGCAAGAACTGAGGGCATTGACTCTGGTGGCACTTTCCTGCGATATTTCTGGGAGAATTGGCAGAGCTCTGTAGGATCCGTTTTGATTGGTTCCCTGTTCTGATTGAAAATAGGCTAATACGTCCTTTTCCCCATCAACAAATGTGAATTACTGAAAATGCAGTTTGATTTCAATCCCTAATGAAAGACAGTGAGGCCTGTGCTGTGAAATGGATGTGGCTCAAGGGAATGTTTCCATCTGGTCGGTCAGTGGGTATTCTGTCACTTTTTGGATCCCATCCTTGTCCATTTCACCAGGGCCCTTATCCCGGCCATTAGTGCCCCATCCATCTACTTCTGCACCCTTAACCTGGAAGCATGTTCAGTCCCTCAGCTCTTAAGAACAACAAAGCAGTCTTTCTCACTTTCCTCAGCCCTTGAGCTAGCACCTTTCTCTTTTCTCCACTTTACAGTTAACCTTGAATAATCTGTGTTCCTTGTCTGGTTTTCTGCATCCCCAGCCATTCCTTATCTCATTGCAGTGTAATTTCCTTCCTGCCATTTCTCTGAAAGCCTCTCACCCGCATCTCATCTTACTGAACTCTCAGTGACGTTCACCGTGACTTCCATAATGGCACACCCTTCTGTTCTTTCTTACCTTTTAATGCCCTTAGCCCTTTTTTCTCAGTTCTGTAGTTGGCAGTCTTACCATTCTTGGCTTTGAATACCAGACCATGACTCTAAATCTGTGTTCACAGAAGTTTTCTCCAGGTTTTCAAGCCTGTGTTACCTTTGTCTCTACCCTTTCAAAACTAAACTCATCTTCCTCCTTTCCTTCCCACTCAACATAACTAAAAACTGTTTACACTCCCTTTCTTTACCTCTTATGAATTTCTAGGTAAAGTAATTGTACTGTAGTCCACACATTTGACAATCTGAAAATTAGAGAGATGTCCAACCCTATATTCTGTTTGAGACTTAGCAGGTTCAGAGAGGAGGTGTTTGGTCTTGAAGGAGCCCAAAGTGGGAGATAAGTGAGAGAAGGAACTCTCTAGAGAAAGGAAACGAAATGAGCCGTGGCATTGAGACATGAGGGGTACTTCATTTTCTAGGGAGTCAGTAATTCAGTCTGTTTATGGGAGATAGTCTGAGTGGGAAATGAGTCTGGAAAAGCAGGCGATGCCTTACACCCCTGAAGGCTCCTCCCCACCCCCAGTTCCCCATACCTGTTTCTTCTGCTGTCGCCAAAGTATTCTCTTGAAAATAGTCGTCTGATCTTGTCATTCTCCCACATTAAATAATTAAATATTTTCTCTTTCCTTTAATAAAGCCCCAAAGCATCAGGCATACAAAAGACCTTTCACAATTTAACCCTTCTTCCCTTTCAAGCTTTGTGTCATAGTGCCAATTATGTGGAACTACTTGCCTTTGCTGAAACAATTTCCTCTATAGATTGCACTCAACCTACCTTTCCAGACTCATTATCAGTAATATGCTAATAGAGAAGTCAGAAGAAATCCAGGTCTAAAGGTTACATGTGCTAGAACAGAATGAAAAACTAAGGTCCAAGGACTATCTAGTGTTTATGCTTCAGACTTGGAAGTGCTGCTCTGTACGGGCATCAGTGCTCACCTACATTTAGCATTGAAATTACAGACAGGATGCCATCAGTGGGCTCCCAGGGTGGACCCCGTCTGTTACCAGGTTACTGAACGGGGTATGTGTAGAGATGGCAAGGATCACAAGTCAGTGCTCTGAAACGAGAGTGATGAAAAAACAACTGGTACCTACCTGGACACGGGAATACAGTTTTAAGCCATGAATTTTAAAATAACCATCCATAAGCCAGTTTCGTATGTAGTAGTTTGAATATTACTAGCTGCACATTTTTTATGAAAGATTATTATGAACAGTTTCTAAAAACTAGCTATTTTAAGGGCTTCCCTGGTGGCTCAGCTGGTAAAGAAATCACCTGCTATGCGGGAGACCTGGGTTTGATCCCTGGGTTGGGAAGATCTCCTGGAGAAGGGAAAGGCTACCCACTCCAGGTTTCTGGCCTGGAGAATTCCATGGACTGTGTAGTCCATGGGGTCGCAAAGAGTCGGACACAACTGAGCGACTTTCACTTCACTTCACTTCTGGTGGCTCAGACGGTAAAGAATCTGCCTGCAATGTGGGAGACCTGGGTTCAATTCCTGGGTTGAGAAGATCCCCTGAAAGAGGGCATGGCAACCCACTCTAGTATTCTTGCCTGGAGAATCCCCATGGACATAGGAGCCTGGTGGGCTACAGTCCATGGGGTCACAGAGAGTCGGACACGCCTGAGTGACTTAGCACGTGGCATATAAGTGTATATATGTACGTATAGAGTCAGACACGACTGAGCAACTACACACAGAACGGCACAGCTATTTTAAAAAAAGGCTCGATGATGTTTTCCATTTAATCCCCAAAGGGAAAGACTACTGGTTTCCTAAATCACCCTAGTTTTACATATATGATTAAATTTGTGTTATTCTCAAATGTGAGGATCTTCAGAATACTTCTAAAAGTTAGAGATGTGGGTGATCTGTCAGCTCATTGAGTTTTTTAAGTTTTACATAGATGTGGGAAATTAGTTATCTTGGTGAAAGTTTAAGCTGCTTATTTTGCTTGTATGTATAAGAAAAATTAACTACCTCACTGGATTTCTAATTGGTTTTCCTTTTTTTTTCCCCTTGTAGAAAAGCAGCATCTGTGATAGCAAAGTACCCACACAAAATAAAGAGTGGAGCGGAAGCAAAGAAACTGGTAAGTTTAGTGAGCAAGTTGGTCGAAGAGTTCACCTGTGTACCAGTTTGGTGGTTCCCCACAAAACAAAATTTGCCTCCGAAACTGCCCTTGACCCAGGCAGGCAAATTTCACTGCTTTCTTGGAATAATATTAATGCTATCTCAAGCGTACTTTCTCAAGCTCCAAGTGTGTTTATTGGAGGAGGGGGTGGGTGAAAAAGTTTTTTTAATATATGTAATTACAGTTTTCTTTTACTTTGCCATGTACATGTGTGTTCATTTTCACACTGATTTTCAGCTTGAGAGTTAGTCCTTAAGAAGAGTGTGGTAACAGATTGGGACTAGCATATCTGCTCACTCGCCATTCCTTCTGACCCCCCGTATAGGGATTTATGTGAGTTAGAGTTACTGTTTCCAAGGAGCTCTTACTTGCTAGTGATAAGCTCATGATTAAGCCCCTTTGCATAGTATGGCATTTAGCCCTGTTCTCTGTAATTTCCGTGAAGCCCAGTATGCTGGCAGTGTCACAGTTTCTAGTAGCGTCACCTGCATCTCTTGTTAATTTGCATTAACATCGCTAAGAATATCTTAGGGAAGTCTTCCTATTGATAAAAGTTTCTAAGTTCCTCAAGATTAAGGACCGTATCTTATGCATTTGTTGTTAAAAATGTCAAACTGGCATGACTTTTTGAGAAGTTGCCACCTTATTTTATTCTTTACCTACCTGTGTAGGTCTCACAAAAGCCCTCTATAATTTAGGTATTAGCATCTGACTGTCCTTAATTTTCTCATAAGAGCCTATAACTGCTGTTTTATTTTCACTTTTCAGAGTTATAACATTACCATCAATCTTACACATCTTATGATTGAGTGACAGATCCACATTAATTATGTGTCACATGTTCACCTTTCATTTATTACTCACAAGTTACGCTCAGGGGTTTTAAATCCTTTGTGCCATTAACAGTTCTCAACTTCGGTAAATCCTCCCCAAACAGACTAGCCTAACAAGTTTTAAGTACCTTAGACTTTAATTCTGAGTTTCTCGCTTAGTGAACTGACCCAGTTTTACCACTTCTGCTTCCCTTTTATCACCACTGAATTTCTTTCTTTATGGTAATTGCAGGTAGCCTGCTCATTTGTTAGAGGCAAACTTTTGACAAGTTCTGATGCATCTCATCCCAAATCTGAGCCCATGGTATATCTCTAACAAAAATGTAGAAATATCCAAAATTCCTTTTGCATAAGACTGGATTTTCACTGTCAATTTAAAAAGCACAAACCTACTCTCTGGCGCATGTGAGTGCTTCTCAATTATCTAGAAACTTGAAATTTCCAGAATGAGAGTTTTGCCTTTTGTTCCTTAATGTTAGATTTAGAAAGTAGCTTAGGCCAAAATTGCTTCAGATCTGTATGTGTCTTTTGCTTTAAGAGATGAGAAACGCAAGCAGTTTCCCCTTTTTGTTCTACTTCTTTTATTCACTCCTACCTATATTTGCTATTTTCAGATCTTGACTATGCATTCAGTGGTCTTTGGACACTTATTTAAACATTAAATCAATTAAGAATATAGAACTCGTTAGAAATGCAGTCTGCTGCATCAGAAACTCTAGGGCAGGACATGGCATGCTGTGTTTTAACACGTTCCCCAGGTGGTGCTGGGGTATGCAGAAGCTTGAGAAAGCTTCCTCTGTTCCAGAGGAAGTCCACAACAGCATTGTTGTAATATCAGAAATTCAGCCATTCAAATGTTCTCCTACAGGGCATTTTTAAGTAAATGATGATACATTCATACAGTGATACACTATGAAGTCATTAAAGTGGTTGTAGTTATATTTATTTATTGGTACATAAATTTGTTCATGATGTATTTTTAAGTCAAAACACTTTACAAAGCAGTGTGATTCTATTTTTGTAAGAAAAAGGAAGGTATATATACATACATATATATATATGCTGTTTATATACATACACAGATAACTTTGCATGTCTAGGTATGTATATGAATGTATATGTATATACTGACTGCAAAAAAGTCAGTATATAGCAGATGTTAAGTGGGAAGATTATAGTTTAATTTTCAGAGTGATGAAATTAACAAATGATGCTAGTATTTTTCTTTATTCAGCTTTGTAGTTTCTAATTTTTCTACAACAAAAGTTAATTTTTTAAAAAACAAGAGTCATTTAGAATTGTCTCATTAGGGCTTTTCTTTTGGCAGTCATTTAAGCATTTTGTCTTTGGGAGAATATATATATATTTTTTACTGGTGCTCAATTACCTGTGTCCTTCTCATTTTTTACTTTATCTTCTAGTGATTTGGTAAGCATTATATTTATGTGACTTTTGTATTTTTTATTTTCTATGTAGCCTGGAGTAGGAACAAAAATTGCTGAAAAAATTGATGAGTTTTTAGCTACTGGAAAATTGCGTAAACTGGAAAAGGTAAAAATTTTTGCTTATTTGTTTATTTGATAATTATGACAGCTATCATGTAGCACCGTTGCAGAGTAGGTGAAATCATCCCCCTCCTTGAGACTCAGTAGGTTAAGGAAGGAGCAGTTTATGGCTCTCTAAGTGTCCTGTATTTTAAATTTTAAATATCTCTCCTCTAAAATGTTGGCTTATTTTATGTGACATTTAAGAGACTGTTTGCCTCTGTAATAGAATTATTTCTTTATTTTCATTACCAGTTAGAAGGGAGATTGTAAACTTAGACTGAGTGATTGTTATGTTTTAGAGTTTGTATCCTTAAATCCTCTCAAGCATTTTTTATGGTTTTGTTTTATTCTGATGATAGTAATTGTATTACTTCTGGTCTTTTATGAATAAACCTTTAAAAAATATTGGATGGGTGAGAAATGAGCTATCTTCATCTGCTTTCTTATTCACTTGTAACCACTGAGGTTGTACATGAATACTTCTGCATGGGTTATCCAGGCAAATGTAATGGCCCTTAATAAGTCTCTTAGTAGACTAGTGTATTTCTAATAAGATCGTTTGAGTCTTCAAAGCATTCCTAAGTCATTGTTAGACTTTTTTTTTTTCCCCTTTAAGATTCGGCAGGATGATACGAGTTCATCCATCAATTTCCTGACTCGAGTTAGTGGCATTGGGTAAGAATTCTTTTTTAAGCAGATACAGTCATAGGGTTGGTTTAAGTTTTTGTGTGTCAGCCGAACTGAAGAAGTTCCTGTTTCCCTTTCAAAGCTGTACCTTTCTGCCTCTGTGCCTTTGTCCACGTACTTCCCTCTTCCACACTTTACATGTTTGAAGCTGGTTCTTCAGTTGCTGCCTCGACTTGAAGAGCACCATTCAAGGCCCCTGTCAGCTCCCTGATGAATCTAGTTTGAGGCTCCAGCCAGAAATCCTCTTTCCTTCCTCTGAGCTCTGTTAGCAGTTGTTCTGTGGGCATATTATCACTCCAGATTATGTCTCTTCTGCCTCTCTGGTCATATTTATCTTAAAACATTTAAAATGCTTTTTTTTTTTTTCCTGTAGCACAGTGCATATGAGTTTGGAACAAGCAGTCATTTCTTAATGGAGGCACCTTTATCTTAAATTTGATACTCAACAGAGTAAAGATTAACACCAAAATGTTAGGACTGCAGCACTTTGCGTAACTGTTGTCTTGATAGATTGAAGCGTAGGTATATGGTGATTGTTTCTTAATGGCAACGTTTTCGGTAAAAGTTATTTTAAAAGATATCAAGTTCCTAAACCTAGTATATAGAAAAGGAGCATAACTCTTTGGGGCTCCAAAACAATGATCAATATAAAATGTTAGCATTTGTTTTACAGAGCATCTGTTACATTGTTCTCTTTCCAGTCAAGAAAACTGAGTACAGAAACCGAGGTAGCTGTGGCAGGGTCAGAATCAGAACCTAGGTCTCCGGGCTTTCAATTCAGATATATTATTTCTGTGCCATGTTGCCTTCCTGATACGAATATCAGTTTCTGTGCCACACAGTTTCTGTGCCAAGGCTCTTTATCATTGAAATCTCAGTTTATCTATCATCTGAGAGGCCTTCCCTCATCACCCAGTCTAAAGAAAACCAGCCACTCTGTCATAGTACCCTATTCCAATTCATCTACCTGGTATTTTCTTTGTTTATGTGTCTATTTATTGTCTCTCTCTACCCACTGGAGTCTCAGTAGGTAAGAGCAGAGCCCTTACTTGTCTTATTCCTGCAGTTGTTTCAGCACCTGGAGTATCTTTAATAAGCCCTTATTAAATCTCATTTGCAAGAATGAATAATTTTCAAGGGCCTGTATGTCTGGTTTATGAGTAAAGTACATAGGCATTATGACACCTAGCTGCTTGGACATCTTTTTCATGTCTAAGTTCACAACTGTCTTCCTGGATTAAGGCTTCAAGGATTTGAACATTGCCAAAGTAACCACTTTGGACTTTTGAGGTTCCCTGGTAGCTCAGCTGGTAAAGAATCCACCTGCAGTGTAGGAGACTCCAGTTCAGTTCCTGGGTCGGGAAGACCCCCTGGAGAAAGGATAGGCTACCCACTCCAGTATTCTTGGGTTTCCTTGATGGCTCAGCTGGTGAAAAATCCGACTGCAATGCGGGAGACCTGGATTTGATCCCTAGGTTGGGAAGATCTCCTGGAGAAGGGAACGGCTACCCACTCCAGTATTCTGACTGGGAGGATTCCACAGACTGTATAGTCCATGGGGCTGCTAAGAGTCAGACACAACGGAGCAACTTTCACAAAGTAACCACACAGTAGTTTAGCGAGTCTTTTTTAGCTCACCAGTAACTTTTATGTTTGACAAGAGACGACATTACTGGTTATTTGTTATAAGGATCCTGAGTTTCACTTGACATTGAGATGATGTTTTTCTTTCTTTGTAGTCCATCTGCTGCAAGGAAGTTTGTAGATGAAGGAATTAAAACATTAGAAGGTGAGTCTGTACAGTTGGTCACTAATTTCAGGTCAGATATGGTCCTGAAGGACCGGTGATGCTCTCAGAAACTGAAACTTGAAAAGAAGCCTTTCTCAGTTAGCAGATATGAATGACGTGCATGGTCAATCCTCAGTCCTGTCTGACTCTGCAACCTCATGAACTGCAGCCTGCCAGGTTCCTCTGTCCATGGAATTTTCCAGGCAAGAATACTGGAGTAGGTTGTCATTTCCTACTGCAGGGAGATATGAATGATAAGATTTTCTTTTTAACTATATGATAGAGAATAGATGTAAAGTGTAGTTTATATTCTGATTTTAACTGTGTTGTGGTCTATAATTCAGAAGAAAATCAAGAAGAGCAAGAGGTGGTGTCTTGGTTCAAAGACAGTAACTTCACTTGCAGATTTTTAGATGATTTAAATTGCTTTTGTTCCTTTAATAAAATTTTAGACCATTGAAATACTATACATTCAGCCTAAAAGCCAAGTCATGTATATTTGGAAAAATGCTGTTAAGAGGCTTGCAATTCTTATTGAAGGAATTTTTGCTTTCAAAGAAGTGATAAAAATAGAAGTCAAGTAATTGTAAAACATTTTCCTTAAACCTAATATAGCAATCTTTTAAACATAATCTATCTCTTCATACTTTCAAGGGTATGTACTATATTGATTCATTACAGCCCATCTGTGGCATTTGGGCATTAATATATGTGGGCTCAACTATTTATAAGCAACCCTAATTTTAGGTGGACAGAGATTTTGGAGACTGACCTGGGATTGCATCCAGTTTCCACCAGTTTCTTAGAATAGATGACTGTGATGCTTCAGGTTCTCAGCTACAAAATAGTTTCATAGTATGTCATGTGATTTAATGCAGTAATGTCTGTAAAAACTTAGCAAAGTGCTTGGTACCTAAAAATAATAACTGACTCTTAAAAGGTATGACTAATTAGTCATACTATTAATAATTTGTGTGACTCTCATAGCTAAGAGTGAACTTGTTCTATACCTGCATCTCATGGAGGGTTAGTGCTTTTCTGCGTGTGGCATATATCGTTTATCTGAGTAAAATATTGGTTAAAGAGGCCAAGAGTTTATTCCTCTTAGGTATTCAGTTGCATCCCTTGGGAGTGTCGAGGATCTACAGTGATGGTTTTCGATTATTTCACTGTTCACAGATACGTAATGTAATAGCTGTTGGATATCTCTATATACGTATAACAAACTCAATATTTCTATTGCATTTTCAGTCATACACTTAATTGTTTTTTGTGTGCACAAAACTATGATAAATATTTCATGCTCAATGTGTCATAAAGGTGCTTATCTTTCTCCATTTTGTATCTCCAGAGAGAATTTGTGAGCATAAGGTGACCATTTTGTTGTTGTTGTTCAGTTGGTAAGCTGTGCCGCACTCTTTGCCACCTCATGTATTGTAGCCCTCAGGCTCCTCTGTCCACGGGATTTCCCAGGCAGGAATACTGGAGTGGGTGACCATTTTCTTCTCCAGGGGGTCTTCCTGACTCAGGGATTGAACCCGTGTCTCCTGCATTGGCAGGCAGATTCTTTCCCACAGCCCCAGGACAGCCCAGGGGCAGCCATGGGACCGCCTCTGAGGCAGCCTTACCTGCCGTCCTCAACCAGCTCGTGCCTGTGCTTCTGCCCATGGAGGGGCCGCCCAGCCTCAGACACGACAGTTTCCTGATTAAAAATGACAGTGACACCTCTCCTTTCAACAGAAGGTTTAGCACAGTGGCTGCACAAATCAGTACACAAAGGATGTTAGTTCACTGGAAGAGTGAATGAACAGAGAACAGTATGAATGAACTTCTGCAGCTGCTGTTAATCATGAATTAAGCAATATAAGTCCTTAGAAGGGTGATGGCCACCAATGGTAGCTCAATGGTAAAGAATCCACCTGCCAGTGCAGAAGACATGGGTTCAATTCCCTGGTCCAGGAAGATTCCCTGGAGGAAGAAATACAACCCACTCCAGTCTTCTTGCCAGAAAAACCCCATGAACAAAGGAGCCTTTCAGGCTATAGTCCATGGAATCGAAAAGAGTTGGACCCAACTTAGCTACTGAACAACAATAGAAGGTCCTTACAAGCCTGCTTTCTGCTGTACTCAGTGAAATTTTATATGATCTTGATATGTTTTCTGTACTGTTTTATATAACTATAATTGAAATTTTGACCCAATAAATAAAAATGATTATGAAATCAACTGTTAGGTTTTACTACATTGACTTGAAGTTACCTTCATCAAGTCCTTAGTATCTGAAAGTTTTTTTCATTGTCTTTTCAAAGTCATTACAATGTGTTTCTCTAGGTAGTCCTTTGAAGAAAGGATCACTGAATTTAGCATTTTTTTCCCCAAAATTGGAAAATGTTTTTTTCCCAGAAATTAGCACCTTAACTTTATTTATCTTCTATACAGATCTCAGAAAAAATGAAGATAAATTGAACCATCATCAACGAATTGGGCTAAAGTAAGATAGCAAATTTTCTTTTGACGCTTGAAGTGTAAAAGTAAAAAAAAAATTATAGCCATTCTTCTGTACTGCATAAGTTTTCAGATTTAGCTAAACACAAATCATTTTACTGTTCAGAAATGTTAAGGTTGTTGTATACTCCTATAGAGGGTATCCCTGTATTTACACGTGGTGTGTGTGTTTGGGGGGGGGTTCCCTCATTCCCTTGACTTTGGCTGAGAACTTCCTCTTAGAATACGCAGAATGGAGGGAGTCAGTCAGTCAGGGTGTTTATTTCTTGCATACATTGTTGAAAGCACTGCACTTGGCATGAGGTTAGGATACAAACAGGTTCAGTGTAGCTCTCAAGAATTTTAGTCTACCTGAGAAGATGGGCCATGACCGTGAAACATTTAATTTTTTAAAAAAGAAATAGGAAAAAAACCCAAACACCTAAAGAACAGAACTGGAATAACTAGTAGATATGTCATCTGTCAGCATGGGTAATTTCTTTTGTCACATGTGAAATACAGACCCCCCCCCCCTTCTAACTATTACAGCACATAGTGCATTAGCTATATCTACCCATAAGCTTGTATCTCCTCTGATCTTGTATTGTCTTGTTGGCCATTTAGTCCTAATAACTTTCTGAACTTGCCTGATAATGCCTTAGCACAGTATTTGAAAATTTATCCTGACCTTCCAAAACTTCAAATCAGTGAGACATCAGGATGGTGTGGTTCCCACTCTCTTTGCACTTATATAGTAAATGGACATCTTCTGAAGAACTTGCTTGTTGTGAGAATTGGTTTTGAACAGTTTGTTTATCATTCTTGGATGTTATTTAATACTAAGATAAGACTCTGGTAAAGAATCTGCCTGCCAGTGCAGAAGAAGTGGATTTGATCCCTGGTCCAGAAAGATCTCCTGGAGAAGGAGTTGGCAACCCACTCAGTTGGGTTGCCAACTCACTCAGTTATTTTTGCCTGGAAAATCCCATGGACAGACGAGCCTGGGGTCCATGGGGTCGCAAAGAGTCGGACACAACTTAGTGACTGAACAACAACAATGTTTTAATAACGTTATTGAAATATTATTTCATATACCATATAATTTTCCCACTTAAAAGTATATAAGTCAATGAGTTTTTTAAGTATATTGCCAGAGTTGTACAACCATCACTATATTCAATTTTAGAGCATTTTCATTATCCCCAGAAAAGCCCAAACCCATTAGTGGTCATTCCCCATTTCTCCCCAGCTGCCCTTCCTTCGCCTAGCGCCTGGCAACCACTATTCTACTTTCTGTTTCTATATTTTTGGCTATTCTGGATATTTCATGTAAATGAGATAATATAGTATTTGGTCTTTTGTGACTGACTTTCACCAAATGTTGTCTCAGTTCATCCATATTGTGGGATCATATTTTAAAATATTTATACAAGTATTTTTCAGGATTTAAAAGCAGTAAATTGCAATCCCTGAATTTGCCAGTAGGGAGCAGTCTAACTTGGATGCATACTAAACTTAAATATATTTATTTACTCTTGAAATGTGAAGTTTATTTAAAATAAGTTTGAATGGAACATCTGCAATATCCCTAAGTGTGGCACTTTCGGATTGATCCAAGTTAAGGAGTAAACCTTCCCTCATGCCGCCCCCCCCAACTTTGCTCTTCTTAATGAATTTTAGTCTTGATTTTTTCAACATCTGCTTGTGTAAAGATGCTCAATAAGGTAAACAGTTTAATGTTAAGATTTAAATTTTACAAAAAATCTTTTGTCTACTTATTCTGTCTTTATAGATATTTTGAGGACTTTGAGAAAAGAATTCCGCGTGAAGAAATGTTACAAATGCAAGTAAGAGTGCCCTGCATTATATTCTTTAATTAGAATTGAGAATGTCACTTGGTGAAAAGCCATTTTTAGAATACTAACTTAATTTTTCTTCTATTAGGATATTGTACTAAGTGAAGTTAAAAAGGTGGATTCTGAATACATTGCTACAGTCTGCGGCAGTTTCAGAAGAGGTAACATACTTCCTAATCTTAGGTTATTCATGCCTTGATGTTAAAATTGCTAATGTATACAAAAAACATGCATTAAAAAGGTGTAATTTCCGTTACTTCATAGATTTGCTAAGACCTCGTAGTTTTAGCTAAGTTTATTTGTTTATAAATGGGAATATATGAGTAAATTAGAGGAAGTTCATCCTGATTTTGATAGGATGGGTTTGTTGTTTCTGCTGTTTTGGCTTTTGGGCCGCGCTGGGTCTTCGTTGCTGCACATGGCTTTCTGTAGTTGCGGCGAGCGGGGGCCACTCAGAGCATGGGCTCTGGGCATGCAGGCTCAGCAGCTGTAGCACACGGGCTAAGTTGTCCTGTGGCCTGTGGGGTCTTCCCAGACCGGGGTCAAACCCATGTCCCTTGCATTGGCAGGCGAACTCTTAACTACTGGACCACTGGGGAAGTTCAGCATGGGCTTTTTTGATGACCAATTTTAATAAAATTTATAAAATAATTTTATTATAATATTATAGAGAACCTGCCTGCCAGTGCAAGAGACATAGAAACACGGGTTTGATCCCTGAGTCAGGAAGATCCCCTGGAGGAGGGCAGGGCAATCCACTCCAGTATTCTTACCTGGAGAATCCCATGGACAGAGGAGGGCAGGCTGCAGTCAGTCCATAGGGTCACAAGGAGTCGGACACAACTGAAGTGACTTAGCACTCACATAGCATAATTTTAGGTATATTAAATACTAGTAGTTGTTGTCTGGCCAGATGCTAGTGAAGCTGTGGGTAGGTTTTTTGCTTCTTGTTTTACTTTAATTTTCAAAGTTTTCTATAATGAATCAAAGTTTAATGTCTCAGGAACACCAGTTTAAAACCAGTTCTCAAAACAACCAGGTTCTTTAGATCTTGATTTACTATGTGAATATGAGCAAAGTAAGAACCACTAAATCCAAAATTTTGGAAGGGTAACCTAAAATTTTAAATTGTTATTTTTGATCAGTTGTGTCTAACTCTTTGTGACCCCATGGACTGCAGCACACCAAGCTTCCCTGTCCTTCACCAGCTTCCAGAGCTTGCTCAAACTCACGTCCGTTGACTCGGTGATGCCATCCAGCTATCTCATCCTCTGTCATCGCCTTCTCCTCCTGCCTTCAGTCTTTACCAACATCAGGATCTTTTCTAATGAGTCCACTCTTCGCATCAGGTGGCCAAAGTATTGGAGCTTCAGCTTCAGCATCAGTCCTTCCAATGAATATTCAGGACTAATTTCCTTTAGGATTGACTGGTTTGATCTTGCAGTCCAAAGGACTTTCAAGAGTCTTTTCGAACACCATGGTTCAAAAGCATCAATTCTTTGGTGCTCATCCTTCTTTATGGTCCAACCTAGTTTACCCCTGTTATCTTACAAAGTTGAAATTGAAAAACTTTATATAAACTTTAGAATAGATGTCTGACTAAATCCGTGGCCACCTCTAGAGTTTTGGTTAGGAAGTGGTAATAGGCTGTCAGAGATTCTCTGGGCAGCTGCTCAGATCGTCTAGCATTCTTATCTATGATATCATAGTAGTAATGGTTACTGATATTTAAATGAATGCATTCATATGAATTGAAGTGAATTTTCTGATTAATACAGTTACATTGTTTGAGAGTCTTAGATATTTATTTAGTGTTCATGGATGTATTTTAAAGCTATATTTAAATATTTTTATCATCATTATTGAGTAGTTTCTTAGTTGCATTTTTAATAACTTATAACTAATTGTATACAATGCATATCTAATGTCAGTTACTGTTGTTATCTAAGATTCTGGTGTTTACATCAATAAACCTGAATACTTGGACAGAAAGTATTTTAACTAATTGAAGTCTTTTAACTAATTCTGAGTGTGAAACACAATGAAATAGAAAGTTAAGCAGTAAGAAGTAAGACTCTTCTATGTGTCATCACCTCAGTTCAATATTTGCCTCACTGATACATTCACAAGGGAAACTCCATACATGTTTTTTGCTGTTATAGGTGCAGAATCCAGTGGTGACATGGATGTCCTTCTCACCCATCCAAGCTTTACTTCTGAGTCAGCCAAACAGGTACCTCAGAACTTGTAGGCACAGGTGATCAGTCCTCACAGCAATGAATATCATTTTCTAAGAGATAGTTGGATATTTTCAGAATGAGTTTTTGTTTTAATCTTTCTGAAAGTCAGTTGAATCACTTTGTACTGATTGAATTCTGTGAAAGGCAATAAGTAAATTATTGAAAGGAATGCGTATTGTTTTTCCACAGAGAACTGACAGAACTGCTTAATATTTGAAAGAGATGAAATTTAGTAAGATACTTCCAGAATTATTTATTGCCTAGCATAGATACTTTAGAAATATCCAGTATAATATTCAGGCTTTAACATAGAAGTATTTTGCTGTTAGAAATATTGTATTAAGAAACTTTACCTCTGTTAGAAGACCCATGAAGGCAAATGTTTTTTATCTTGGAATATATACCTTTTAAAGATAAGCAGGTAACTTTTTGACAAATGATGTCTGTTTGGAGGTGTCATGGTATTCGTGAAAAACAGTGGTTTCATTTGATAAGGTGAATTTTCTGTTAGAAGAAAAAGTAGTCAGAGCATAGGAAAACTAGGCATTTATGCAGAGAGCATCAGAAATCTCATGTTAAAAATGCTTTCTTGCTCTAAGAGAGTAATTGCTTTTTTTTTCTTATCCCTGATTATGATTCTACAGCCCAAACTGTTGCATCGTGTTGTGGAGCAGTTACAAAAGGTCTGTTTTATTACAGACACTCTGTCAAAGGGTGAAACAAAGTTCATGGTGAGTACTCGCTTGAGTTAACACCTTTGAAAAACAAGTAACTGTTCTGAGTGTGACCTCACTGCAGCTTAGTGTCCGTCGGTAAATAGGGCACCCTGGTCCTTAGAGGGGACATGTTCTCTGACCTCAGAATATTCTAGTGGTGAGTTTGTTCAGCATGCCCCATTCGTAAATAACCTGTGCCATCGGAATAGGCGGCGGTGGTGGTTCAGTCACTAAGTTGTGACTCTTTGAAGCCCTGTGGTCTGTGGCACACCAGGCTTCCCTGTCCTTCACCATCTCCCGTATTTTGCTCAAAATCATGTCCTTTGAGTCACTGATACCACCCAGCCATCTCATCCTCTGTCACCCTCTTCTCCTGCCTTCAATCTTTCCCAGCATCAGGGTGTTTTCCAATGAGTCAGCTCTTCACATCAGGTGGCCAAAGTGTTGGAGCTTCATCTTCAGCATCTGTCCTTTCAAAGAGTATTTGGGGTTGATTTCCTTTAGGATTGACTGGTTGGATCTCCTTGCAGTCCAAGGGGCTTTCAAGAGTCTCCTCCAGCACTACAGTTAGAAAGCATCAGTTCTTCAGTGCTCAGCCTTCTTTATGGTCCAATTCTCAAATCCATACATGGCTACTGGAAAAACCATAACTTTAACTATACAGACCTTTGTCAGCAAAGTAATGTCTCTGCTTTTTAATGTACTGTCTAGGTTTGTCATAGCTTTTCTTCCAAGGGGCAAACGTCTTTTAATTTCATGGCTGCAGTTACCATCCATAGTGATTTTGGAGCCCAAGAAAATAGTATCTGCCACTGTTTCCACTTTTTCCTCATCTATTTGCCATGAAGTGATGGGACCAGATGCCATGATCTTAGTTTTTGGAATACTGATTCTTAAGCCAGCTTTTTCACTGTTTTCTTTCACCCTCATCAGGATAATGGAATAGGTAATTAGGCATAATCTGCTCTTTTAAAAATATCCATAATGACTTTGACACATTATATTTTTTTCCCTAAAATAGCAAATATTCTTTGACTCAAAATCTATTAATAAGTGAGATTAGAATTGTCTGAAGAGCATTATCTGTGACAGCTCGAAAGAAAGAAGGCAGTCAGGCTCAGTGATGGAAAGTCCAGGGGAAGAGCCTCGCAGTGTGAGGCGGTGGGTAGGGGAGCGGCACCTGCAGAGCATCGCTGAGAAGCCCAGTGCTCTGGACCGTGCCGCCCTGTGGTCTTCCTGGGGGATCAGGGCTCAAGCACTCAGGACAAATGGCCGATGGGTCAAAAACAGATGAATAAACGGTCCTGTGTAGAAACTGGAGGCAAGTAGAAATCTTAGGGCTCAGGTAACAAGCCACCTTCGTCTGTTGCTCCCTTAAATAGAGCATGTGGACCGTCTCTTCTCCATGCTCCCCTTTTCGTGAGATGTGCAACCGAAAGGAAGGAGCCTGTACTTCTGGGGCGTGGATAGGCTAAAATTAGCAAGAGGCTCAGCGTGCAGATCTGACAGTCTTAGCTGAAAGTAGAAGAAGATGGTTGAGACAGAACATTGAAACACCACGTCATTTAGAAACTAGAGCGTGGTTGCCAGGGCCTGGGCAGGATGGCAGGGAGACGGGAGTGAGTGTTCCGTGGGGACAGGGTATCAGTTGCAGACGGTAATGAAGTTCTGGAGATGAATGGTGGTGATGGTCACACCGTGTGAATGTGCTCTGTGCCGTGGAACCACACGCTTACACGTGGTCCATCTCGTATAATTTAATCACCTGTGCAGAGAATGTCATTAAGTGCGGCATGGTGATTTTAATGGGCTATGAGAGTATATTGTCTAAGTTGGCCACACTTTATCAATATTTTCAAAAGAACTTTGGGAAAGGTAAAAATAAAAATCCTAATCAGTTTTAGGGAATTAAATTTTTATTGATTCTCCTGAGTCTGTCAGGTTTTGAGCTCTGTGTCCAAAAGTGTATCCACCCAAGATATTAATAAAAATAGGGTTTGTATGTGCCCTGTGAACATTCTTTGGAATTTGGCTTGTCTTTAATTCCCTCACAATGAATGTGCACAGATCTTATATTTAAAGAACATTCAGTCAGATAAAATTCTAAAAATAATACATGCGAGACAAGTTTGGGGTTTTTTTGTTTTGTTTTGTTTTTAAGTAGTAAGAAAGTGTCCTGGCATGCCTGAGCATATTCTGGGAACTCTTGTGGCCTGACTGTCTTCCTGCAGTAGTCATGTTGTGAAAGGCAGTGAGCTGTCTCCTGGGGAACTACACCAGCTGTTTTCAGAATTAGCCACCAGGAAGGTGTTTATTCAACTGAAAAAGCAGAAGCATTTTTTTTACAGTCTGAACAGCATTCTGCTGTGCCCAGAGAGACCCAGAGGGAAGACCAGCAGAGGCTGTAGTCATCTGGCCAGCAAGAATACAAGGACAGATTACAAGCTGGTGGGCTGGGTGTAACCCGCAAAGGGAGGTGGGCAGCCACGTACATGAATGCTGAGAGTTGCTGATGGTAGTGGAATTCCTAGTAGCTTCTCAAAGAAGAGCATCCTTTGCTAGGAAGGTCGTGGGCAGCCAAACCCCAGTGATGCTGCAGAGTCAGCCAGTTCAGCCTTTACAGAACCTGTGCTGTGTGAGAGGCAGGGCCACTCCCCCATCCTGGGGTACAGGCTGGAGCGGTGGGAATCTTGGCTCGCTCTTGCCTTCCCGTCCTTGTATGTACCTGGCAACACATGTACAGATCTTGCTAGAAAGGGAATCCTCCCAAACCGATTCCCAGAAGAAAACAGGTTAAGAGATAAGAAAGCAGTTTTTTGGTTTGCTTTTGAAGTACAGAAGACTTCAATAGACTGTAAGATCCAGAGACTAAGGCCTTTTTGTTCTGGCAAAAGCATCCATCTAAGTGGGTTTGTGTATAAAGTTTGGGCACCATACATGTGCTTCATGTAGTTACTGAAGCTTAGAAAAGGCCACGTGTGAGCCTGCTGTCTTGACATTTGCCGTTCATGTTTGTCAGGATGAGAAGCACTGCAGGTCAGCTTTCAGCTCGTTTTGTTTTGGAGGCAGTAAGAAGTGACCTGGCCTGGTGGCAGAGGCGGGGGTGGGGGTGGGCGTGTTGCGTTGCGGTGAGCAGGTCTGGGCACAGAGGCGTGAGGTCTGGGCTCCACTGCAGTGCCTTGAGCAGTGCTGGCAAGTTGCTCTCCTCCTGCGCGTCTTTCCTTTTCTTACCTATAAAATGACGTCCTTGCCCTCTGTCAAAGGACTCTCACGTGGGTTAGATTTAGGTCATACACGTGGAAACTTTGAAGGGTCTGTACAAATATCTTTTGAAGATACTGAATCTTTTAGAGAGTTGCACAGAGTGCTATACTAGGATAATACATAATGATCATGTAAAAAGAGTGTGTTTCTGTCTGGAAATAGATGGGTGAGAGGAAGGCAGTAGCCCAGAACGTATTAAATTGGGGAACAGAAGCGAAGGACAGAGAGGGTGGTGCTGTTCAAGAGCAAAGTGGGGAGAAGGGGCATCGGTCAGATGGAAGGCTGTATTCAGTCGATTCACCAAATGCGGCGTTTAGCATCGCAGTGTTCTGTGCTCTGCCCAGGGCATGAGATAGATCAGTGAATTTAAGTGGTGCTTTCATTTGAGGGGCGTGGAAGGGACTGCTTGTCAACAATATGAATATGTTAAGTAGGTAGTACTTAATATATTAAGTAGTGAATATATTACGTAGGTAAGTTGCATGGTAGGTTAAAAGTGTGTGCTCAGTCACTTCAGTCGTGTTGGACTCTTTGCAACCCCATGGACTGTAGCCCACCAGGCCCCTCTCTCCACGGGATACTTCAGGCAAGAATACTAGAGTGGGTCGCCCTGCCCTCCTCCAGGGGGTCTTCCCGACCCAGGAATCAAACCCAGGTCTCTCACATCTCCTGCATTGGCAGCGGGGTTCTTTACCACCAGTACCAGCTAGGGAGTTCAAGAAAAGGTATTAAATAGGATGGCCTTACTGCGATGGCAGCTGGGGAGAGGCTTGAGGTGAGGGAGTTAGCCCAGCAGACCTCTGAGGGGAGGGGCAGGCAGGCAGGAGTCAGAGCGGTGACTCTGGGCACAGAACATCAGCGAAGGTCACCAAAGAGGTTTTAAGATCTCTGCGTTTCGGAAAGGAAATTGGCTGCAAAGTGAATTCACCTTATGAAGTAGAATAAACTCCACTCTATATCGATCCAGTTGATTTCAGAATATCTTGTTGCTATAATCACTGGCTAAATAGTTTGAAAGATACAACCTTCTCTGTGTTTTTAAAGTTATTTTTAAAACATGAATTCCTTTAAACTAATAGTAATCAAACCTTAGGAAAGACAGGGTTATTCCAGATCTTCTTGTGGACTCATGGTCTTTAGTTAATTCAACTATTCTTCCTGTGAATAAAATAACATTTGGAAGAAAAACCAATTTCCTCTGCATTTAGATACCTTTTTATATAGATGAGTACCACTCAGATTTTAGCATTTTTGTGCAGGTTTGGCCTCAGAAGATGATTTTCTGTGATCACAGTGAGGATTCAGGGGACAACAGAAGAAACCTAGGCCACACTAGAGGAAGAAGACAGTCAGCGAAACTACCTCATCAAAATGCCAAACAAAACTAATCCACTCACTCTAATAAAGAATTTACAGTAATACAGAGAAATTCTTTAACACCAGCACTTCAGAAAAAGTGCAGGAAATAAAATTTAGCCTTGAGGAAAGGAACAAAGCCGTTAGATGAAATCCTGTTACTGATGTGACAAATAGCAGGATCACTGCCTATGGTGCTCAAACCTCCATATCCGCAAGGTAATGCCTCATGGTAATTCCTTCTGAAGGTTGAGTTGGAACTTGTTAGTGCCTCAGAAGGTAGGTTTCATATTTGAAGATAAACAGGATTCATTAATCTCTCAGCCAGAGGAGTTGCTAGAGAAAATAACCGTTTTAGATTTTGATTTTTATGTGTTGCTGAGTGAAACATACGACTTTTAGTGACGTGTGTACCAGCTTGACTGCCCTTCAGAACCGGAAGCCTGTAACTTATGTGTTTTTCTCAGAATGTAGCGTTTGAAGCTTTAAATTTGAAAAATGGCGATGTTTTTCTTTTTACATATTTTACATATGGGTTGTTGCCCAGCCCATAAACTTTCCACATTTTTCTGGAAAAGGAAAAGATAACAAAACAGACCTTGATAATTGTTGTTTTAAAACTGCAGAAGTATAATGAAAACACCCCTGTAGAGAAGGAATAAAACGGTCCTCTATCTTTTAATTTTCTTCTTGATTGTACTTTCTCTGTCTTCTCAAATTTCTGGAAGATATCTTCAACTTCAAATTCTTCTGTCATATTTTTAATTTTGATTTAAATCTTTTCCTAGAGTTTTCTGTAGAATTCTGTCCTTGTATCATGGATAAGATATCTGTAATCTGAGAATATTACTGATAGCTTTTGTGTGTGTGTTTGTCTCTCTGAATAATCATTGTTTCTTCCAAGTTGCTTTTTTCTGTTTGTTCTGGTCTCTGTCTTCCATGCTTTCCTTGATTATTTTCTTGTTTAGAGTCACAAAAAAGCCAGATGAACCATCCATCATCTGCTGTTTCCTGTGGTTCTTTAGTAATCATGAAGTATTACAGTACAAAGGGGGTGATAACATATAGAGCATAGAAAAGTTAAGTTACAGATCTTCACAGTTCTAAAACCACCTCCATTTAAAGCAAAAGTAACTTCACACTTAACAGTATTTGATTAGAATTAAGCCTTAAGTTTAAAAAAAAATCCTCAAACATTATTTTAAATATCCATTTTAGGGTGTTTGCCAGCTTCCCAGTAAACACAATGAAAAGGAATATCCACACAGGAGAATTGATATCAGGTATTGCTCAAAATTTGTTGCTGACCTATTAACTTCTTTCTTTTCTCCTTTTCCCCCTTCCCTCTCTATATCTTGGAATTTGCATAAATATCCAGGATCCTTTTTCATTCTGTAGTCCCATGCTGCTGCTGAGTCATTTCAGTCATGTCCAACTCTTTGTGGCCCTGTGGACTGTAGCCCACCAGGCTCCTCTGTCTATGGGATTCTCCAGGCAAGAATGCTGGAGTGGGTTGCCATTTCTTCAGGGGATCTTCCTGACCCCTGTCTCTTAGATCTCCTGCATTGGCAGGTGGAGTCTTTGCCACTAGCGCCCCCTGGGAAGCCCCTGGAGTGCCATATGTCCCTGCAATAGACAGTGTTTGGCCTGAAAGTATGTAAAGAATAACACTGTCCACGTAATCTGCTTTGTTGTCTCTGGATTTGCCTCTCGATAGGGTGCCTTCCACAGCATGAGGTGGATCCCGCTGGGGAAGGTGGTCCTGAGACCACCTTTGGGTTTGTCCACACCGCTTGCCGAGCGTAGTTTACTGAAGCCTGAACTAACTGCATTTAAATGGTCCTGGTGATGGTCTCCTCTTCAGGTTATTGGACTGTGCAGGCTTGTATTGTGCCTTACTAATTATGAGTCCTGTTTTTGCTAAGTTTAAAATGCGTAGTAAAGGCTTGCCCGATTGTTTATTTTGTTTAGGTTGATACCCAAGGACCAGTATTACTGCGGTGTCCTCTATTTCACTGGGAGTGATATTTTCAATAAGAATATGAGAGCTCATGCCCTAGAAAAAGGCTTCACAATCAATGAATACACAATTCGTCCCTTGGGCGTCACTGGTGAGTATTTGTGTCTGCATCGGAGATAATCCCAGTCATCTGGATATTTTGGTTTGGCAACTTTGGTTTTTCTAAAGAGCCTGTATGTAACCATGGCAGTTAATTGTAGTTTCTTTAGTATTGTTAGTCCCTCAGACAACAAAGAAAGCTTTGCTCCATAGGTGTTCCCAGGCCCTCAGCTCATGATGACAAGATTTAGTTATTTTCTGCGTTAGAATGGATTAAATTCTTTCTACTTCCATGGTCAGTAAAAAAAGAAAAAACTCTTATTGATCTAAAGGATTTTTGTTTTCTTAAATGTACCTCCAAGATTTCTGACAAACTCAGGTGTTACTCCTTTCACTGTCAGGCCAAACTTGGTAGCTTTGGCTCCAAACTTTTAAAGTTTAAAGGGTAAGAATTGCTTAATCTGTTTTTAATAGATCTTGTGAACATTTCACAATATATTTATTACGTGGTTTACTGTTATCCGGGGGCTTCCCTGGTGGCTCAGTGGTTAAAGCGTCTGCCTGCAATGCGGGAGACCCGGGTTTGATCCCTGGGTCAGGAAGACCCCTTAGAGAAAGAAATGGCAACCCACTCCAGTATTCTTGCCTGGAAAATCCCGTGGACAGAGGAGCCTGGTAGGCTATAGTCCACGGGGTTGCAAAGAGTCAGACACAACTGAGCTACTTCACTGTTTACTGTTATCTTCTAGGAGAATGAAAATTTTGTCTTTTTGTCCTAGAGCTGTAAAGTAGGGCTGTGCTTCTCACGTGTCAGCGTGTGTACAGACCACGTGGGGCCCTCACTAAATGCAGGTTTCACTTCAGTGGGCTTGGCAGAACTGCAGCCCTGCTAGCAAGCTACCGGGCAGTGCCAGTACTGTTGGTCCAGGGCCCATGTGCTGAGTTGCAGAGAACTCCCTGGAGTCTTTCCCTGGTACAGGGGAGATCCAGCTGAGAGGAGAGTTGTGGAGTAGGGTCACTTCAAAGGGTGGGAACAGGAGCTCTTGAGGGAGGTCTTTTTATGTCGCTTGTGGACTGTTTTCTTTTCCCTCTGAAAGCGAGTCCTGTTCAGCTCTCAGTCCCGGCCCCTCTGTAACTGAGCTCCAGGACTGGCTGGTGAGGAAGGCTCTGGCCCCTCCTTGCAGGCGTTGCTGGGGAGCCCCTGCCCGTGGACAGTGAGAAGGACATCTTCGACTACATCCAGTGGAAATACCGTGAGCCCAAGGACCGAAGCGAGTGAGGCCCATCCTCCCTGGCACAGCCCGATCGGGGTCTTAATTTATTTCTTAAGCTTTGCTATATAAGGGTCTGTGGTGTTTTTAAATAACTGTTTCTTCTTCATGGTGTAGCCTGCACTATAGTCAATAAAACCTCTTGTATGATTATCAGCTGTGATCTAGTTCTTAACTTCATTAGCAAACGTTTAAATTTATATATTCTGTTGATGACCGCACTTTACTAAGGGTCAGTAGACATAATTAAGAGACGAGATGATAACAAATCTTAAATGGGGATTTTTATTTTCTCATTTCCTGCCCTTATGCTATAAACCACATCACCTCATTACCTTTCCTCATATTTACTGATTATAAATTAGTCAGTTAAGGTGTACCCAGGGGCCAGCCTCTGGAAGAGGGTTGAGGCTTTTTTAGAGATTAGAGAACTTCATAAATTAAACTTTTTCTTGGCTTGACCCATATTTGATTTTGTTATAAATACTTATAAACTAAAGAACAGGTGTGTGGTTTATCTCTTAAATGAAATGTGTAGCAACTGATTGTAATCCATTGGAAAGAGCTTCCCTAATTAAGTTGTCCAGTTCAGTCACTCAGTCGTGTCCGACTTTTTGTGACTCTGCGGACTGCAGCACGCCAGGCCTCCCTGTCCATCACCATCTCCCGGAGCTTGCACAAACTCACATCCATTAAGTCGGTGATGCCATCCAGCCATCTCGTCTTCTGTCATCCCCTTCTCCTCCTGCCCTCAATCTTTCCCAGCATCAAGGTCTTTTCCAATATTCACCCATTTGTATCAAATGTGACCATTTAAACTTCAAATAGACAAAGATTTCACTTTTTTCCCCTGTTTTCCTCCAGTGTAACTTTTGAGTACAGATGGTCAGACATTCCTTGAAAGCTCAAGCTTTGAAATACAGAAATTATAGGAATACAAAAATATGAAAAGTTCATAAATAGTAAGGCTATTGAAAACAAAATAATGGAAAAATGCTTTGGAACTTGCAATGGGTTATACCAACATAAGCTCTTATCTTTTGAATCATATCTTTATTAACCAAGGTTTTGTTTCTGTAGCAAGAAGGCATTTCCCTTCCAAGAAATGAAGGGCTATAAACAATATTGGTTAAGGAAAATATGTGGTCATTTTCCCTGGTAAGCTAATTTAACAACAGATATACTGTCACTCCGCCTCCCCGTCCAACTCCCATCAGGTGTCAGAACTTCACCAGAAATTACTTAAAAGATTTATTTGAACTGACTGAATCACTAGATGAACTTAAATTTGTTCTAGAATCACGTTCATTTTTCTGCAGAAACAGACAAAAAGCCAAACTAGTTTCCATTCATCACAAGACAGCTTCTCCAGCTTGGTCTATTTCACTTGCTAAGAGACTGCATTTTAAGATGTGTAGATGGGAAGATGCGGAAGTGCACGCCTGAGAGTTCTGCTGGGTCAGACCTGCAGCCCTTAGACTTTCTGGCACAGTCGCAACCGTGCGTGTTGCCGGTTTCGAGCCGCCTGACTGCGACACGCTAGCCCGGGCCCACAGTCACAGCGCTGGAAGATCTCCGGAGCCTGCGCAGGGTCTTTGCGACCCCTCCTAGAGCAGACCTGTCCCTCCAGTAGCACCGGTTTACAGATTTTGGTCCAAAAATGACGAGCACAGCAAAGTCCAGGCCCGCAGTCGAAAGTTCTGAGACAGCTTTCTCCCTCTTGTCCTGTAACAAGGTTGACACAGGCGTTAGTGATAAGCAGGTGGCTTGTGGGGGTGTGTCTAGGGTGAGGCATCGCAGGGAGGATAAGCCGGCAGAGTAAGGCTGGAGCAGCATGCCCGGCTCCAAGGCTGAACCCAACTGTGAAACAGACATCTCAGCTCTGGCAGAAGATACTGCCTGAGAAAGTTGAGAGCAGGAGGAGAAGAGGGCGGCAGAAGATGAGATGGTTGGATGGCGTCACTGATTCAGTGGACATGAAATTGGGCAAACTCCAGGAGATGGTGAGGGACAGGGAAGCCTGGCGTGCTGCAGTCCATGGGGTTGCAAAGAGTCAGACATGACTTGGTGACTGAACAACAACCAAGTTAAAACATCTATCAGAGAAAGATGGGATTTCCTGTCTTAAGACATAAAGTAAGTATCACTCATCAGTGTTTTATTAAATGGGATGTGTACTGATCTGGTAAGAGACCACTGCTTACATGGGGACCAGTTAACCTAGACACCAACAAGAGCAGCCAGTTCACCTTCAAACATTCCAGCTGCTTTCTGTCAAAGATTGGATTTTAAGATTACAGTTGTGTAAAAAGCATTTTAGTGAAGTTTGTATTTTGTTTGAAAAGTTATTGCATCTGTGTTCATCTCTTTTATTTTGTATTTTTTTAAAAAACACATTTATTGGCTTATATTTGTATGTACGAATGTTTTTAAATTGGGGTATGTGTGTGTTAGTTGCTCAGTCACGTCCGACTCTTTGTGACCCCATGGACTGTAGCCCACCAGGCTCTTCTGTCCATGGGATTTTCCAGGCAAGTATACTGGAGTGGGTTGCCATTTCCTTCTCCAGGGGATCTTCCCAACCTAGGGAACAAACCCGGGTCTGCTGCATTGCAGTCGGATGCTTTACCGTCTCAGCTACTAGGGAAGCCCTTATTTTGTATTCTAAGGATTTAGTAAAGGAAGATTTCTATTTGTTAAATTATAGGCTGTAAAAACATGTGTACAGAAAATTTAATTAAACAATTGAAAGTTTTCTTGCTCATCAGCCCATGATTATAGGTATTCCCGTCCTCTAGGCCTGTCAACTACCTATACTCCTCCCCACACAGTCTCTGCAGCCATTTATGGAAAAATTAGAAGCAGAACATGCTTCCTAGGTGTTTCTGGGGTGGAGAGGAATAAGCCAGTCTCAGCCTATCCTGAGGAGCCCAAGAGGAGAAATGTTTTTCTTTTTTAAAAAACGTGTTATGTCGTTGTTAAGTCGCTAAGTCATGTCTTATACTCTTTGTGACCCCATGGACTGTAGCCCGCCAGGCTTCTCTGTCCATGGGATTTCCCAGGCAAGAATACTGGAGTGGGTTGCCATCTCCTACTCCAAGGGATCTTCCTGACCCAGGGATGAAACCCACCTTGCCTGCATTGGCAGGCAGATTCTTTACCACTGAGCCTACACACACACACACACACACACACACACACACACACATTTAGAATGCTGCTCTTCTTTACCACTGAGCCTACACACACACACACACACACACACACACACTGCTGCTCTTCTTTACCACTGAGCCTACACACACACACACACACACACACACACATTTAGAATGCTGCTCTTACCCTTACTGCCTTGTGACTTTTTAATATTTGGCTTCCTCTTGGGTCTGTTTTCCTGGATTGGGTGCTCGGTTGTTGCTTGTGTGTCTGCATCGTCTTGGTCATCCATCGCCCTCTCCAGTCCCAGGGCTGCCTCTTCCGCTGCAGTGCAGACATCTGAGAGACGAGCGGGTGGGGTGAGAGGATGGGAACCACAGGCAGGCGCATCCTTAGGCTGTCAGAGTTGGGCAGGCCCTCTGCCTTTGGTTTCTGGGTCTAGGCTTCTGGGACATGTGCACTAAATATTTATATCTCACATAAGGCACAGAAGGGGGTTAAGTAATTGAGTCAAAGCGGAAACAGGGATTCCAACTGGTACCCTTCCTTTAAAATCATCTCCAAGTTGCTGGCAAGAGTTGTTGCCAGGAAAGGAACTATTTTGCTGCATCGAGAAAAGGCAGCTAGGGAGAGTCGCTTCAAGAATGACTCCAGGGAGCCTTTAGAGAGTGCCTATCATGGGCCATCATGGTGTGAGAGACCCAGGTGCTGTCTCCGCCTCGTCGGAGCACGGCAGTCCTGGCAAGCTCCGGGCCGACTCACCATTCACGCAGAGCGTCCCGGGGCAGCACATGGCAGCACGCTGGCACCGCCTCCATGGTCCACGACAGGCGGCACAGAACGGTTTCTCATCCTGAGATTTGAGGCAGAATTTTCTAATACTGCAGTCCTTGTCAGACACGCACTGTGAACCCTGTGAAGGGACATTTGTTCACAGGGCTAAAGAATCCAGCGAGATGTAAGCAGACTTTTTACTGCAGGGAGGAGGTGGAGGAGGCCGAATGCTGAGGCCCTTGAAACGTTGCGGCAAGCCTCTAGCAGCATCTTCATTTTTTTCCACTAGAGTTGGTTTTCTCCCACAAAGGGGAGAGCGAATCATCAACAAAGAGACCTATGTGCTGCCGAGGGTATTCGTGTTTGAGAAATTGTCCTACTTTTAAACCCAGAATTTAATTTTTATGCTTTGTGAAAATGGAAGAAAATGTTCTCCCATGTGTCTTAGAGATGGTTATGAGATTAAAAATTATTTATTTATTTATTTATCTGGCTGCACCAGGACTTAGTTGCAGCAGTGGGATCTAGTTCCCTGATCAGGGATCAAACCCAGGCCCCCTGCATTGGGAGTGCAGAGTCCCAGCCGCTGGACCACCAGGGAAGTCCCTGATTACGAGATTCTTGCTGTGTGGCTAGAAGCCCTGGACACTGTGCTACAGTCTAATGAGATGGAAGCCTGGTGTTTGTGGCAGCTCTATCTCTATCTGACCTTTTGACTCCACCAGTCCCCGTTAGCCAAGGAGCCCTCGGGGGACCTCACCCAAGTCACTTGATTCTTAGGGATGCCTCATTTGCAGAGCAACAGATTCCAAAGACCAAGTTTTCTCATCTACAACTGATGCTTTTTCAAATAGACATGAACATTTCCTATAAAACTGTTCTGTGAAGTGAGAGGGTGACAAGCCCGTGCTCCTTAACAGCCAGCACTGAACTAATAACTCCCGTATTCCCTGACTGTGTGGCCTGAGTTAAATCCCTCAGCATCTCTGAGTTGCATTTCACATTAGGAGGTGTGACAGCTATCTCAAGCTCTAAGGAAGCGAGGTGTTATGTATCAGAGGCCTGGCACGTGGCACAGCCTTCTCACTGTTCTCTTCCTCTCAGATTTGTAGGCGAATTGAGAGCTTAGAGCCCTGAAAGCCACTTGGCTTCTTGGGTGAGTTAATGCTAAGGCAACCGGATTCTCCCAGGAGGCCTTCAATCCAGCTCACTGCCTTTCCAGCTCCCCGGCTAGTCTAGATGAACCATTTCAGGCCCTGATCTGAGTGATGCTTCACACAAACCCAGCACCCAGCCCTCCTCCCTTGCAGGCTGTTACCTTCTGGGCCCCTTGTGCATCAGCAGAGCTCTTGATGTTGTTGAAATCCAGAACTAGGGCTCCCAGGGGGGTGCACAGCCAGCCGAGCCCCAGCAGGACCACCACCACCATCCTCGACCTTCTCAGCCCTCCCCGCGTCCTCCTCGAAGCTGAGCAGCTCTGCACCCGCAGTGGAGCTTTGGCCGAGATGGAAACTCAGCAAGTCACCGGGAACTGCTTTTTCTGAAAGAGAAGGGAGGAAGGTGTGTGAAATGCGATAAGCGAAGTCTGATCAGCGGGTTCCCTCTTGAACAATTTATAGACGTGTCCCCTCCTTTCTCCCTGCTCCCTCCTTCTCCATTTCCTTCCTTCTTACCCCACACAGGCTAGAACAAATCCCTGCAAATCTGTTTGATCAATGGTTCAAAACAAGGACTCAATGGAGGGGGGAGCGGAGACAGAGCTGCAGCCGCTGCTCCTCCAGGGGTTGAATCCCTCTTAATTACTGCCTATCAAAGTCAGTTCAAAGGGCCAGCAGAAGAGCAGGATGTCTGTATCAAAGGCAAACTCTGATAATCACCTGCATTTCCTACCTTCCATAATCCTGGGGGGGAGGAGGGAGTCCGCTCTAAGATCTGTTTTCACAGCTAATTGTGCTCCCAAGAAAGAATGGCTCCTATTAGCCAATGTGCTATGCGGGATGCCAAAAACTAATGAGTTACAAACATACTGAGACATTTTAAACTATGCTCAGGTGGTGAAGACTATGCCCAGGTAGAAACAAGGGATGATGCCTCTGATTAGCTCTGGCATACAGATGTAAAGAGCCCAACAGCTTAAGAGCTGTGAATGGAACAGCACCTGTCTGGGCTAAATGTCAATTGGAAAATAATTCTCCTTAAGATGAAAACGGAACTGTTAGAAGTTAGGATTATTTAATTAGGAAAATAATGAGATTTATAAAAATTGTCCTTTTAATGTTAGAGAGGACCCCAGAGAGGCAATTGTATATACAAATTTACACAACTTAATAGGAAGTTTGGGTGCATTTTATTGAGCAATGGATTTAACTTGTGTTGTATGATGGTGAATTGACTAAAGCAGAACAGTCTCCAATATAGCAGATTTCAGAGGGAATTTCATGCATTTTCAATTTTCCTAATTGAAATTTTTAGAACTTCTGCTTCATCCCCATTTGTCTGATTTTTTTTCCCCCAGTCAGCCTGTTACCTGTCAAATAATTTAGACATGAACTTATCTCCCTGGTAGCTCAGACAGTGAAGAATCCACCTGCAGTGCAGGAGACCCGGGTTCAACCCCTGGGTCAGGAAGATCCCCTGGAGAAGGGAACAGTGATCTACTCCGGTATTCTTGCCTGGAGGATTTCATGGACCGAGTAGCTTGGCGGGCTATAGTCCATGGGGTTGCAAAGAGCTGGACATGACTGAGTGACTAACACATTGTCACGGCCTAAGTACTTTAAGGGTAGAAGAGTCTGAATCGGGATCTAAAAATCCCTTCCCTGCTGGCTTTGTTCTCAGGGCAAATTCATCCCAGTACCTGGGATGTAAGGGGCCCCTTAAAATCTAATGACGCAAAAAAAAAAAAAAATCTAACGACGCTTTTTTTCTATGCCATCAATGTCATTCTTAGTATCACTGGGTCTTCTTCCAGAACCAGCTGACCTCAGTTGTCAAGATGAACCTGGATATCCCGTGCCAGGGGACCATTCTCAGCCTCAAAGTCTCCCAGTGCCCTGGCGGCTGGGACAGGTGACCTGAGGCTCCGTTACTTGGCTCTCTTCGTGGAGTTGGGATGTCTGCCTCCATCGTGTGGTGTGAGGAGCTATTTCTTCTGCACGTACTACTTTTTTCACGTAAACCAACATCAAACACCCTTTGATAGTAGGATATGCCTGGTGACTAGGTGTGTTACAGAATTTATTTTGAAGTTGGACAATTATGACCAAAGATAAAGGAGAAAGCCCCAGGGTTTGTTCCTTGCTGGGTTTCTCTGCTTCCTGTTGCCTAACTGAAGAGAGAATATTAGGGCAGCGGAGGCCTCTGGCAAAACACACAGACAAAAAGCACTGGCGCAAACGTTCACTGAGTACTTAGCACTTAGCACTGAGTACATAGCAGCACGTATGACTAGGTGTTGGGAATAAAGGATAAAAATGGTCCTTGCCCCTGAGGAGTTAGTGTCCAGAAGACATATATGTAGAGATAATTTATATATATTATGACAAGCGATAACATAAAGGCAGAAATGTGGGGCTGGAGGATCACAGAGGAGGTCGTGATTAGACCTTCTGGAGGAGGGATTATTTAAGCTGGGTTTTGTGGGTTGAGTAGGAGTTCCCTAGGTTAAGGAGCAGGGGATGATCTCGCCTCAGGCGCAGACGGTGAAGTGTGTACAGAGGCAGGGAGGCACATTTCCGTTCTAGAGAGTCTGTGTGACTGGGGCGGATGGTAGAGAGCCCAGAGAAGGCTAGACTGTGAAGAACTGACAACAGGCAAAGGGAACCGGACGTTATTTCATATGCAGGGGAAAGTCACTGGGGATATCTGAACTTGAAAACAATAGGATCTAATTTAAAAGACTTTTTAGGAGCGCAGTGCTGTGGCAGTGTGGAGCTGGGGTTACAGTGGGGTGAAAGTGAATGTGGGGCCAGTGAAGAGGAGGAGGAGGAAGAGGAAGGCCGGTGTGAGGGAGTGACTCACTGACAGTGAGGACCGCCAAGGATGGTGTTCTGCACTTGGATCTCCATCGTCTGATGAGAGGGCTGGGCAGGAGTGAAACAGAGGAGTTCAGGTCACCCTGACACTTCTAATGCTGTGCACAGGTGGACGGTTATGGTTTCCCAGATGGTGCTAGGGGTAAAGAAGCCACCTGCCAATGCAGGAGACCTAAGAGAAGTGGGTTCCATCCCTGGGTGGGGAAGATCCCCTGGAAAAGGGCATGGCAACCCACTCCAGTAATCTTGCCTGGAGAATCTCACGGTCAGGGGAGCCTGGGGGGCTACAGTCCATGGGGTCGCAAAGAGTCAGCCACAACTGAGCAATTAAGCACATGCACAGATGGTTATGCCCTGTAGATGGAAGTCAGGATGGAAAGAAGCTTGGGGCAGTGGGACAGAGGCCAGGAGCACCGTGACCCAAGTCGTCAGGCCTTTGCTGGGTATCTAACGTGAAGACAGAAGATTAGCCCCTGTGTCCTCCGGGAGTGACGCTCCCACAGATGAGAGGACGTGAGGATTCAGACACACCAGACGCAGGAGGCTGCAAACGGGCAACAAGACTGAAAAGCAGGCTTCTCCTCTCTGTCTCTATCCGACTTTCTCTCAGCCATGCAAGACTGAGAGCTTCAGAGTCAGCTGGACCTGACTGGAGCTCCACACGGGCCTTCCCTGTAGCCCCTGACTCCCGGAGGCATCCCTCTGCCCACCATAGTGTTTATAAAACTCTAGCGTGATTGGACACTGGTTTGTCTCTACGAGAGACAAAGGTATCATCTTTGTATCCTCATGCTTTGAGGGCCTAGCGCACAATAGACGCTCCATACATTGTTTTCTGTGATGGAAGACTGCATAAATAAATGGATTTATTGTGACTTTGTGACTTTGAACAAGATACTCCACCTTCTGGGCTGCATCTCTGCAACTGTAAAGTGGGTATGACTCCCCAGAAAGCCTATATTCTGAGGGTTCAAAGTGTGACTTCGTGTAGAGGGCCTGGTGCTCATACGCTCTATCCCAGACCAGACCCTTCCATCCTCATGTAAACCTCAGGACTTGGCACAACACGTGGGCCTTCCATGAAGGCGCTCAGCGGAAGTCTGTATAATCCAGTGGTTGTTGTTCACTAGTTCAGTCGTGTCCGACTCTTTGCGACCCCACGGACTGCAGCACACCAGGCTTCCCCATCCCTCACCATCTCCCAGAGCTTGCCCAAGTTCATGTCCATTGAATCGGTGATGCCATTCAACCATCTCATCCTCCGTCACCCTCTTCTCCTTCTGCCTTCAATGTAATCCTATGAACCAAAGAAAAATACCCTTCCCCCCAAAAAATTGTCTTTTATTTCTAGGTCTCCCAAAAGCCAGAGCGACTTTGAGGACATAAGTACTAGAGTGTCCCTGGAAGATGACCTGGGGTATTTCCAGATCTGACAGAGGCTGCTTGTGGCTAACAAGCAGGGTTCCTCAGCTAGGATGCCCAGTGACTGCGCTCACCGCCCTGAGGCTGATCTCAGTCCTGGTGGATTAGAGATGATGGAGCAGTGGGAAGTGGATGCCAGGGAGGAGCAGAGGGGAGAGGAAGGCTTTAGGAGTGTTTCTGCTGAAAAGGAATTGATGCTTTTGAACTGTGGTCCTGGAGAAGATTCATGAGATTCCCTTGGACTGCAAGGAGATCCAACCAGTCTATCCTAAAGGAAATCAGTCCTGAATATTCATTGGAAGGACTGATGCTGAAGCTGAAGCTCCATTACTTTGGCCACCTGATGGCAAAAGTTGACTCTTTGGAAAAGACCCTGATGCTGGGAAAGACTGAAGGCAGGAGGAGAAGGGGACAACAGAGGATGAGATGGTTGGATGGCATCACTGACTCGATGGGCATGAGTTTGTGTAAACTCCGGGAGATGGTGAAGGACAGAGGAGCCTGGTGTGCTGCGGTCCATGGGGTTGCAAAGAGTCAGACAAGACTAAGCAACTGAACAGCACAGTAGCTCAGGGCCCCTGAGTCCCCAGACACAGACGAGAGCACTGCAGAACCCACTCCCCATGCTGGGAGCCTGGCCCCTCACGTGAGGACGCCCTCACATGCTCTCCTGACCCTGGACGCCCCTGGCAAGGACTGTGGGGCCAACAGACAACCCGAGCTGGTCCTCCTCATGCCTCAGGGAGCTCCTGGCTCAAAGGAACGGCGGAATCAGGGAGTATCGACTGAGCTCAGAGGAAATGAAAATTCTCGAGAAGAAATTCCACCCCCCACCCCGATTCAGCAAGGAGGGAGATGCCCCCGCTACGGGTGATTCCCAGCCCGGGAAGGGGGGTGCGGGCTGGTGTATAAGAGCTGACACCTGCGTCCTCCAGTGACAGTTGTTGTGGTTCGCGTCAAAGACAGCACCGTG